GTGGAAGGTGCTGGGTCATGGGGAGTCAGATCTGAAAGTTCTTGGAAGATGCTTTCGAGGCAAGGTAGTCTCATAAGAAGAATGGCACTATTTTACGTAAGTCCAAGGTACATAGAATTCAGTCCATGCGGTGATACAGCTTTTTGTGCCTTCATCATTCTGCTTCCATACCACTAGGTACTACTTGCAAGTTCTCTACTACTCAATTCCACTCTCATTTCATCGCACCCACCCGCCACTCCCTCTCAGCAGCGACATACGTCTCATTCCAAATTTTTCTTCAAAATTCTGCTCCATGAGTTGCTGTGGCCTGCCTGCTTGCCCTCATGGCCTACCTTGGTCTCTTTTGCGCAGGGTTGAAACAATGTATCAGGTCGAAAAATTCTTCAGGTTTTCAGCCCAAATCGCGTCAAACTCCTGTCATCTACTATTTGTAAAATCAGATACTATTGATTAGCAATTCATCTGATTTCTTTTGGCAACATGTATACCTATTCTTAGCATTGTGCACTGTATTCATCACCATCATGCCGATTTTGGCGATACAAGCGCTGAACCATGGTATATCTTGCATGAGCACTGGACCATTATAACCCCAGCCAATATCCCCCACTCGCTCACAAACATCCTTCAAATATGACCGTAGTCTCAAATGATCCCAGTTGGTGGCCGACAATCGATTCAAATATTTTTACGAGTTATTGGATAGGTTTGTTACATCAAGATGTCTTGATCTAACATTGACCTGCAATCTCACAGTTGCCGCCGGCGTTATGGTGGTATATGATTGGGGTGAGCAGGATAGTGTTCGAAAAATGCTGATATTCTCATGATATCTCCAGTCCTAACACTCGGACAAGAGGTATGTCAGTGCTAATTGTTGGAGCAGCCAACTCGCTAAGAATGGTGTCATAGATTGAACTGATCTGGGTGAGTGACAGAGTCCCATACCAGAAGCAAAACAGGAGAAGACAACGATTTTGGAACAGAGGCAGTGCTGGTCTCATATGACTGTGCTGTACCTGGCGGTTCGTAACTCATGTTGTACTGTGGCATGATTTGCAAGTTGTGCTGACTCAAAGTGTTCTAGATACACTACATTGGAATTCCATATTCTGTGTATGTTTTTGAGGCTGACAAGTTGATGCTGTATTAATAGCCCATCTCTAATTATTAGTATCATCGTTCTGAGTAGGTTTCCTATGCACCATGTTCAATTCTTCTGACAGACGGTAAACAGGCAATATGCCATTTGTCCCGCTGTCAGATGCAGTGAGTATTCTGCAACCATCTCATTCTCATTCAATAAGTATGCTTATATGTAGGGGTGAGTGAGATTCTGACCATTGAGCTAGGCTCAACATAATGACTTAATAGGTGTGAGTCAGAGTGTTTGATCCTAGTACATGGGCGATCACTAATTGAGTGTTCCAGGCGCTACTCTGTACTACATATCAAATGGGACAAATGTGGTCCTCTTTGCCATGCTGGATGGTGAGCTGTGCTACTTCATTGATATTGACTCGACTGAAATATGATGCAAGTTATCATGATTGCTCGGTTGCATGCCGTGTATCAGAGATCTAGAATCATGCTCATCTTCCTTGTTATTATATTATTGGCTGTAATCATCGCCTGCGGAGTAATCACAATAATAGGACTTACGCACATTGGAGCAGGTAAGCTTCACCTTTTGACTTGAAGAACACAGCTCATTAAACGAACACCAGAGGAGGTGATACTCTCTGGCACGTATATGTGCAATTATGAATGTGGAAGGGGTGACTGGCTTCTGATTGTAATGATTTGGATGCTCAGCACTGTTTGGGAAGTCCTCGCACTGTGTCTTTCAGTCTGGGTTGCTGTCAAACACTTTCGTGACTTGCGAAGACTCAGCTCATCGACAGGATTGACTATCGGGGACTGTTTCAGCGTGCTGATAAAATCTCACGTGCTTTATTTTGCAAGGTGGGCTCGTAATGTCATTATGGTTAGCTTTTTCTCAAGTTCTGCATGTGTTAGCTTTGTTTGCGTCTCTTGTCTTGAGCTTGCCTATGCAGAGTTCGCCACGGTGCGCTGCCCTGTCGCTAATATCTGCTTGTAACCACTGCTCATCATTTATATAGGGTTCATATTCTATGGAAGTTCAGATACTCGGTCGTACTTGTCAGATTTTCTTGGTTATGCAGATGTTTGTGCTGGGACCATGCCTCATCCTTAGCATTCGAGAATTTCACACTAAACTCATGGCCAAATCCGACACAGAAACTAGCATGATATCGATTGTTTTTGAGGAGCGTGTAAATGTATCAATTAGCAGTACTATGTAGGATAATGCTTACTGAGTGTTTGGCATGGAGGAGATATTTGGTCGAAGATCCGTTGTAATATTTATTTTAGCTGTGCTGGTTCAAAGTATATTTAAGACGAGGTTTATGTAGATTTCTTGTTGTATCACTACTGGAAGTCAGTACGCTGCCCACCCACCCTTGTCCCAATTGGCAAGCTGGTATTATTCGGAACGTCTAGCAACCAACCCAGTCCTTGATGCCCGATACTGAAATACAACGAGAATCAGTATAAATTGACCAGAAAACTGATTCTACACGTTTGCCGAGTTCCGCTGTCTGAGCACACAGATGCATGATGATGTGTCTGCGAAGCATGAAACCCAGATGGCTGATAGCTTATTGGTCTGAGATAAGTTTTCATCTATCTGAGCCATGTAGAAGGAAAATGAATGAATCACGTGGACTCATGGCTCGATTGTATGCCTCTATCACGAATGAGCATGGCAAGAAGATGAGGTGTGCTGAGCGGGAAGTAGGGAATTAAAGATGGGAACGTCAATTTAGTAGGTCTCAAGTTCTGAAATTTCATTCATACCTGCATTATTGGAGGTGTGCCATCGCGGCATTGTGTGCATGCGGCTGCAGAATGTGTCGGGTTTGCGTCCTTTCTGCCGAATGACTGAGTCATTCATAAGAGCAGAACGGGCCAGACGCACATGCACCCCCATATCATCATCCAGCAGCAAGAAAGTAGTACTGAGTCATGCTCAAAGGGTGAAAGCCGGTCGTCATTGTCCTCCGCAACTATCTGAGCGTCACATCAGGTCATCAGATATCCAGGTTCACTCTCGTTGCGGGTGCTACTGGCGCGATATTGCAGATTGACGTCTGTTCAAGCATGATTCAACAATATCGAGCATGATAGTTTAAAACAGAGACTTACGAGGTGAGTATATGCCTCTGTCCTGTCATGCATGAATGCGCACGGTAAGAAGATAGAAATGCTGAATAGGTAGTGGAAAAGAAAACCAGGGCCTCAAGTCGGAAGGCATTAAATGCACCTGGAAAAGTATCAGTAAGGCACCGACTACGATATTCTGAAATACGTACTTTGATCAAATCGCACTGGTTCTATCATAAGCCTGAGTGAAGCAAAAGATGAAGTGAGAGGAAGTTGTGAAACCCCGGATGGCTGATAATACATGAAATCAGTGAGAACACCTGGCCACATTCATCATCCATCTGGGGTGCAGAGAAGGACTGTCGGATTGTGTGTGAAGGGTAGAAACAGGGTGTGGATGTTCTAGAGACCACCAGTCTACTTATTTGGCATCGATCATCTGATAGAACCAACCGATCGCTGGCCACTGTCAGATAGTCACGTTGACGATGACAGTCGTTTGTATTCAAGTATAATTCAATGATATGGTGTATGATGGTTTCAAAAAACTTACGGCTCGAGTATTTACCTCTATCAAGAAAGTGCACAGTGAGGTGATGTGATGTGCTGAGCGGGGAGTAAGGCACGCCTGACAAAATATGGTCAAGGCACCAGTTATCTGAGCATAGAAAAAGTATGAAATCCAGACATGTGGAACATGATGCGAAAGTTTTGTGAATCAGTAAAATAAAACTAGTGTATGAGCTCAGACAGCTGATGGTCCTAAGGATTTCACAATCATCAAATCCGTTCAAGATCTGTCATTTCCCTGAGCATAATGAAGGAAGGAGGGAAGTGACCGTGATGGGTAGAAGTCCAGATTTCTGATAACACAGCGGCTCTGGTTCGCAGGACACAACTACCGTGACACCTGCCATGCGGACTTGACTTGGGCAATGGGGAAATTACGACTGTGAAAACGAATGAAGTGTGAGGGGAATGACGGACGGGGTGCGAGGACCGAGAGAGGAGTAGTATTGAATTAATGGCAATGATTCGTAATGCCAGTCACACGGTGGAAGCCGAGATGGCTGATAAGGCAATGTCTGCTTCGTGGTCATCACCATATTACCCGTTTGGGCTGCCTGTATGAATGGAGTGAGGTGCTGCCAGTGGGTCGCGGGGAATCAGAGCATATCCTAGACGGAAGATGTTCACCTTGTGTTGATGCAAAAAGAAATGGCACGTAGATGCAAAGTGCAGTAGTGAAGACGGCACTATGGGACCGTTGTCCCAAGTAAGCGCGTTTTGCGTGCAAATGGGCAGAGAGTGGGTGTGATGTAGGGCTCCGTGAAAAACTACCCACGGAGTTAACAACGAGTTTTTAACTCACCCCCACCCTCGAGGGGTTTTTGATCAGTTTTTGACACACTCAAAAAATGCGTTTTTTTCAGGTCATTTTGACATTTTTTTGCTATGGTAATGCAAATGCCCACTGTAGTACAGGCCCTCCCGGAGGCGTTGGAACTGTGCTATCCTGTAGTTGAGGTGTCCTACTTGCCCCTCCCACCAGCTTCTCTGATAGTAAGTCCAACAATCGAGGAGCATCAAGATGAGCATCCTCGCTACCCACAAGTACTCTCGTATCACAAGACCTGTACATTGGATCACGCTCAATCTCTGGGTCCTAGATCATGAACCCATTTTCGAAGCAGCGCGGAATCGGGAAACTCATTGAGGGCAGCCGTTAGGACATCAACAACTGCAACAAGACCTGGCCCACGCTCTTGAAACTCGAACGGACACGGTGCCAACTCATCCTTCCGGCCCCTGGGTGCAAACGTGACCTCGAGCACATTATTCAGTGCGGCTTCGGTACTGCCATAGAGTTCGACCCTCTCCGGACCTGGAGCATAGTGCTCAAAATTATATTTGGAGTTTCCGAGGGGGATACTATGTGGAAGTTGTGCGAGTGCCATTCGGAGGTGGCTCAACTGTGTGTTGTTGTGCCCAATGTCCTCGAAGAAGCTCATCAAGGTAAATTTTTGTTGCAATCATTGAGCTGAACGCTCAATTGGACAGTAGTTGACAGATCGTCGGTCATATCTTAACAAATTTTCGGTGATTTCGGATGTTCAGATGGAGAATTCGATAGGCTATGTTCCCGGGATCATATACATATATATATTAGTTTTTGACACCCCAATATCAACCCCAAGTTATTGACTCGTTAAAAACACGTTAAAAACCTGTCAAAAACTTCAACGTCAAAAACTCAGTAGTTTTTCACGGAGCCCTAGTGCGATGGCGATGATAGTAAGTGAATGTTTACGAAATGATTCCCGAGGGTGGATTTGAATCTGATGCAGGCCAGGACCGATTAGAGAACGTTCAGGATATATTGGAAGATGGGAACGTTGACAACGTACCGCGTGGAGGGGCATGAATGGGGTAAATAGCTTGTGGAACAGGTGAACAGAGAGTGATCGTATCTATGGTGGGAAGTCTTTTAATTATGGAGGAAATGGGTTGGACAAGAAGTGTTCAAGAGTGTTCAATTCCGGAGTATATATTCAAATTGTAGCGTACACAGTCCAAACAAGGGCAGCTGAAGTAGAACTGGTTTGCAAATCAAAATGAAACGTTCAAGGTAACATTCCTTCGAACAATTTCAAACCAGACTGGTACCACATGCACTTTCATTTCCGTGCTTCTTGCAGCCTTCTCGAGCTATTCATGGATGTATCATGATGGGCCCACAACATTCAATATCAAGTCTGAAGGTTTCACAACAGTGTACAATGATCTACACAGCCTGGTTTTTGGAGGAACAAAAATACCCGCTACAATGATGGATGCTTTTGGTGCAGCCTTCCAGCAAAATGACGAGGTAGCAGACTATGCTATGACTTTGGGCTTATTCGAGCATGAGATTCACGAAGGTAACCTTAGTGTTTTATCACAATAGGTATATAGGGTTTGATGTTATTCGAAGGAACCGAGTAAGCTTCAAATGATAACAGGGTACCAGAAACCGAATCAAAGTCTACTTTGATTCATTAATTGAAGACTTCCACTTTTGCTTGATTTTGCACCGCAACACTTACTTCAACCAATTTCAAGGGCCTTGAGGCAGGTATAAATATTCATCACCATCATGCTGATTTCGGCGACACAAGCGCTGAACGGTGGTATATCTAGCACGAACACTAGATCATTATAACCCTCAACATCCCCACTCGCTCACACCCATCTCTCAAATATGACCGTAGTCTCAAATGATCCCAGCTGGTGGCTGAGAATCAATTTGAATATTTGTATAAGCTATTGGATAGGTTTGTTGCATCAAGATGTCTTGATCTAACATTGACCTGCAATTTCACAGTTGCCACTGGTGTTGTGGTGGTATATGATTGGGGTGAGCAGGATAGTGTTCGAAAAACACTGATATTCTCATGATATCCCCAGTCCTAACACTCTATGGTGCTTGTCAGATTTTATTGGTCATGCAGATGTTTGTGCTGGGACCATGCCTCATCCTTAGCGTTCGAGAAATCTGTGCTCAACTCGTGACTGGATCCGACCCAGAAACCAGCATGGTTTCAATTGTCTTCCAGGAGCATGTACATGTACCAACTAGCAGTGTTTTGTAGGGAAATGTTTTCTGAGTGTTCTACATGGTGAAGCTATTTGGTTGAGGATCTGTCATAGTATTTATTTAAGTTATGCTGTATTGAAGTATATTTAAATGAGGTCTATGGACAAATCCACATCACTACTGGAAGTCAGTGAAATGCCTGCCCACACTTGCACCAAGGGGCAAGCTGAATTATCCAGAATGTCTAGCAACCAACCCAGCCCTTGATGCCTGATACTGAATACAGTATAAATTTCCCAGACAGCTGATTCTACACGTCTGCTGAATTCTGCTACTGGGCACACAGATGATGAAGTGTCTGCAAAGCATGAAACCCAGATGGCTGATAGCTTTTTGGCCTGAGATGTGTGCATCAGTAAATCCCAATTTTCCCACAGATGTCACAAACTTGGGGTCTTGCGACAGCAAGTCACAGAGCCTCACAGTTTGCACAGGTTCACAGTACACAGTCCAAATCCACCCACAGATTTCAATATGTATTATGGCCTGTAAAAACTCACAGAGTCTCAAATGTACCAGTACTACTAGTGCCACAAGCATAGTGTAGTATTGATAATCATATACTTGTAGTCACCTATTATTCCCACATATCCTAGTTAGTAAAGTGGCCTCATGGTTGTTGAAGAACTGCTTAATTAAGCCTTTAGGCATTCCTATGGAGCACTGGCGGTGCACACCAGCAGGTTCTATAAGCTTCTACCTTGTACATTGTGCTCTAGTAGTAGAGCACCAGTGGTGGCACACCATGGGTTTGTTTACTCAGTTGCTTAATTGGGTAATGTCATCACCTCACATAAGCAGCACAATGCTGCTGCCCTTGTGCTCATTATCTGCAACAGCGAGCTCCTACATTGTGACATTTCCACCAATTTTTTCTGCCTCTATTACTATACGGTATGTACAAGTATATCTTAGAACACAGACAATACTGACATCTAACCATGCATAATCAAGCAATGAATCAACATGGTACATGGGAAACCTTGCTGACCCCCTTCTTATCATTGACCCTCACTACATCTACAATATCTTCATTGAATCTGTCTCCTCATGTGCACCCACCATTCTCTGGGTGGTGTCTTGAGCAAGTGTGTTGTCCATGTTGGCACAAAACTGAATACAGTCTGTCTTGGAGCCTTGCATCAATGGCAAGAGAATGCACATGAACTTTGTGCCTTGCTCCTCAAGAGTATGCATGTTCCTTTCCTCTAATTGTGTTTGTGCTGATAATCTTCCAGAGCTTTCTTTGAGGGACCATGAGCACCTACTGAATGTTGAGAACAAGCAGACCAGACCAGGCTCCTTGTCAGCCACACCATCTGATACTTTCGACTTTTCAGCCTACAACATGGATATAGATACTATGCTACCTCCTCCTGGCAAGGAGGGTTTCACTGTTAGTCATGCTGGAGATGAAGTCTCACATACTGCAGTCACTTTACCCTTGTATAATACATATAGCCAATGTGGGCCCATCAATGTATTGTTGTGTTAAATACAGGTGGGCCCATAGTATGTGGTATATTAGATAAGTGTACACTTTCCTATTGCCTTTGGTAGGTATTGTGTGGTAGGTAGTATATGAAATATGTACCTGATATGAACAGGTGGGCCCATCACAAGCATATATCTGATACCAACAAGTGGGCCTATGTCAAGTGTGTATGTGATACCAACAGTGGGCCCATAGTATGTGGTATAGTAGATAAGTGTACACTTTCTATTGATATTGGTAAGTGGTGTATGATGGGTAATGTGTGAAACATGTGCCTGATACAAACAGGTCGGCTGAATGAGCAGTGGTACTGATATATACAGATGGGCCAATATTCTAAGCACATAGATGTATCAAGGACACTCTTTGGTCAATTGATCGGTGTTCATGGCTTACAAAATATACTTGCCCAATGATAGATGGGGTAGTCAGTCAATAGGTCAGTCAAATATGATGTATGATTGACATTGGGTTAATAGGTGATTGGTTAATTGGTCAGTTGGTCAAAACATGACCGATCAAATAAAACTATGATGGACACTGGGTCAGTGTTCATAGATTAGCTTACAAATATATTTGTGTGATGATAGATGGGGTAGTCAGTTAAGAGGTTGGTCAAATACATAGTTGGTCAAATACAATCCATTACTGATGTGTTCATGTGCCTGATACAAACAGGTTGGCTGAGTGGGAAGTGGTACTGATATATACAGATGGGCCAACATTCTAACCATACAGATGTATCATGGACACTGCTTGGTTAATGGATTGGTCTTACAAAATATACTTTGCCTGTGATAGACTTGGGTACTTGGTCAATTGGCCAGTCAAATATGATGTATGGTGAACAGTGGGTCAATGTCCCCTGAATAACTTGTACAAAATATACTTACCAGGACTACCTTGGTCAAGTATGAGGTAGTTGGTCATATGTGATGTATGAGAGACACAGTTGGTGTTAATTGAATGGCTTACAAAATGTACTGGCCTCATCATAGTAATTGGTTGATTGGTCAAAATATGTCTGGTCAAATATGATGTATCATACAACATATACTTGCATAATGATAGACAACATAGTTGGTCAATAGGTCAGTCAAATACAATCTATTACCAATGTGCTATTGATACTTAGAATCACACAATCAATGCACATGCAATCCAGTCCAAATCAATTTCATTCAATGTATGTAGTCAACAGTATCTAACTAACTGTGCTACATAAGGGTATATTTGGTATCAAGGGAGGGAGGGAGTCACAGAAGCAGGCAATGGTACACTAAAATGAGATTAGACAGTGGGAGCAGATGAAGTACCAGCCTGTACTGACTCAGGCAATGCTTGCCCACTGGTAAATGTGCTTCCTTACACATCAGGGCGACTAAATGGGTGAGATGCTGAGGGTTGACCAATGCTGACTGAATTAGCAGTGGGAGTAACTGAAGGGCCAAACACACCAGTCAAGTACCTCACACCCATTGCTGTGGCTGAGGAACCACTAGTTGGGCCCATCATTGGTGGTGGAAATGATGGATTAAGGACTGTGCATTCCTGCCACAGTTTCTTCACCATGTTGGCCAGACCTTGTACTGTATCCACTGTGCCATTGAAGCTAAGCTGCATGGCAGAAAACTTGGCCTGCATAGAGGAGATGCAGGCATTGAATTCCTGCTCCATGGCATCCACCCTGGCAAGGGTGTTGTGGTTGGCCATTTCCATGGCAGTGACTCTAGCTGCCAGGACAACCATACAATCATGGATGGTCCATTCAGCTGCCAAGGTGGTGGGTTTGGCTGCAGGAAGTGGTAATGGGATGGGGATGTCATTGGTGTCCTCCTGCCAATGGTCAAGAGGAAAGTTGTTGGCTAACACCATGGCTGCTGGCTGATTAACCTTGTCATTAACTGTGGGCTCGCTCAACATCACCAAAGTGACATTGGCTTTTTGAGACATCTGGACATCTGCATGAGAGACAACTTCAACGTCTAAAACTGAGGGGTGAACATCAGTATGACCATATTAATAATAATGACAAAAACTAACCTGTATCCTCCATTGCATCCTTAGATTCTACTGGGGGTGTTGGTTGACACACATGGGAGGCTGCTCAAGTTGCCCTGGATCAAGCCCTCAACGTGGAGGCTGGTGTGGCTCTAGACCGAGGACATGATGTCCACACATGCTCAGTTGTCACTGTGCTGTTGTTGACTGAGGTCAGTCAGTTGCAGCACACCTTCATGACATAGCACTTGGCACAGGACTTCATAATCTGTCCCTTGTGACTGACAGCAGCGAGACAAGGCTCATCAACACACCTCTTACAGGGTGGGTCGTACTATGAGAGAGTTAGTAGTGAGCAATACATATAACCAGCCAAACTCACCTCATCTCCCTCAGTGACATCGACTGCTATCTCCTTTGCCTTTCCCTTCAGCATTGGTTGGCTAGTGCAGCCTTCGGTGTCGGCCTGAATGGTGTTGAGTGGTGTGGATAGACAGGAGGAGGTGAATCTCACCTGTTTGACCTCTTTGGTCACACCCTGGGAATGAGTCAGTATTAACATTGGTCATGGTATGACCAATGTGCTTACCCTTGACTTTGGGGGTGTTGGAGTGGAAGGTACCACTGCCTTGGATGTTTAAGGTGCTGTGAGACATAATGAAAATCAAAAGATGCAACAAATATGCACCTTGACCACAATGGTAGGCCCAGTCATCTAGGCATCCTCCTCCTTGGTGTCTGAGATGATGGCCTTTGAAAGGCACTTGATCACCTTGTGCCTCTTCTTGCTGGACTCATTATCAGAGTCATCCTCTCTTGATTGCTGAGTCCTCCAAACTGGCTGCTTCCCTTTGTCAGTCATTGACTTGGGAGCCTTGACAGGAAGTGAGTTGATTGGTGGGACTGACATCACCTTGGGAGCTGGTAGTAGGACCTTGGAGACTTGGCTTGGCACTGGTGCCAGTGCTGGTGCACCTATAAGGAGGTTAACCAACAAGGGTACATTGAAAGAAGGAGGACTTACCAAATCCAATCATTTTCGCATAGAAGGGGTGTGATTCCATATGGGAATCATCAACCCTCACACAGTTCCATTGCATGGCCTGGCCGATGTTCATGGTCACCTGAACCTTAGTAGCCACAGACAGCAGCAACAGTGAAATGGCCGAGGCATTCCTGCCATGTTGCTGTAATGCTTGAGACTAGTACAAGATGAGTAAATGACACATAAAACAAAGGAAAGACATACCACTAGCCAGGCTATATCATGAGCCTAGTCAACTACTACCTGGCCATCCGCTTCATAGCATCTGATGCAGGCAAGCACAGTGCACAAAGATGCGTTGGCAATTGACAATGCATTGTTGGCTTCTTGTTGTGAGGACATTGTGTGATTAATTGATAGTGATGGTAATGGATGTATAGAAGAAGATGATAGGATGAGTATTGACCAAGTTATATAGGGAACAACTCAGTGTGGCCTTTAATGTGGACTTAGCAAAAAGTCAATGCAAAAGTGGGTGCTAAGTTGCAGCACTGTTGGAAGTAGCCAAAATGAACTGTTGACACCACAATTGACACCACTGGGTTTTGCCATATTGTGGCCTTGGTGGTCTAGTTGTCCATTGTTGTATATATACACCCAAATACAACCACTGCAAGTACATGGATTCTCAAGAACATCCAACTGACAAAGCTCAATGGTTACAGGACAAGCACATCAAAGCTGATAGGAATTTCTTTGTCACATGGGACCAGTGGGTGCCACTGAATTTGGGGCCAACTCCATCATGTCACAAGGCCATACCAATGCACTCATGCAACAAAAACACCAACAAGTTATTGACCTCAACTATGCCAACCAGGAAGAGACAAGCTGATACAATTGCCAAAAGACATTTTGGCAAAGAAGGTAATGGCCTCATGTTATTGAACTTTGCATTTACTGATGGTTGACCATACTAGTGTTTGACATGTGCTGGAGCACTGCATCTGAGCCAGTGCCATCAGTGGAAACACTAACTGCTTCATCATCTGCTAAACCCCACTATGGTGGGCAAAGTAAGTCCATGGTGTTGTCTATTTCTATGTCATGGAGCTTTACTAATACTGCATTATCTTAGCTTTTGAAATGTGTTAGACTACTGAAACTGATCCAGTGCCAATGATTGATGCACCAGCCAAAGCATCATCCCCAGGTCAGTATGACCTTTGCTAGGATGAGCCCAGTTCATCCAAGGTCATCTCAGTGCCTGAAACCACTGTAGATGCAATGGCTGCAGCCACCTATGACCTATGCTAGGATGATGAACCTGACTGACCAGCAATATCAGCTGCAGGATACCAAGGTGCAGCAGCTGCAGCCACATATGATCTATGCTGGGATGATAAACCTCAGTCAACAACTGCTGATTCAGGTCATATCTTCACACCCTCAGCTGCCAGTCAGTATGACATGCATTGGGATGGCCAACCAGCAATGTTAGCTGCAGGATACCAAGGTAAGTATCAGTCATTTATGTTGGTTGCCTAAACTCATGTCCAGGTGGTTTTGACATGTGCTGGGGAGACTCACCATCAGATGGAGGTGGTGAAAATGAAGGTAACTCAGGTCAGTTGGTCATTTACATGTTGCACAAGGTACTGATGGTGTGATGCAGCAGCCAACAATGCAGAATCCTTAAGGAGTCAAGACACTCAGGTGTCAATGGCTCCCTCTTCAGCACCAACTGAAGGCTCAGTGATGGCAAGGGTTGAAGCTGGGAAGGAATTGGTGTGCCAAGCCAGTGACCAGCTGGCAAGGCTTGATACCATGATAAGTAAGTTTATGGTTTCACTGCCTGTTCCTGTCATAATATTGATAACTGTTGTAAAGGAGATAATGAAAGCCCAGCTGCCACAGAGATCCCTGATGGCAACCAGGGCTTGTTGTCAAATTATCAATGTGTGCGCAATCAATATGTTACAGCCACCAATGATATCGCTGAGATTCAACACTTGCTGCAAATGTTTAGGCAGATTGATGATCCACTGACTGTATTGGAGCTAGGTATGAAGAAAGTGGGCAGCTGACATTGACATATGCATAGTGTAGTATAGTGTACTGTATGTAACATGTAAATACATGCCATGTGTGTACTTTCAACCAATGACTGATAGAAGTTTGCTGAATCAGATGTAGTTGGCATACCTCTTGGGCTTTTGCCAAGTGCATCTGACACACAAGTTCTCAGCATTGCTCCTGGTGCCCTTTGCTAGTGCATCAGAGGGAACACTGGTGGCTAATCTGGCAACATTGGTCTTCCCCAGCAAACACTCTTGGGGTGGCAGCACTGCCTCTCAGTCAGCCCTAGTATTCTTGGGTTGCCTCTCTTGTACCACTGGTGATGCATTTCTTGCAGCCTGTGTCCTTTTTAATGCTAGTGCCTGTACTATCAGCAATGCATGAAGGTGTTTAAGACCCCGACGAGTTGAATGTGGGCTGAAGGTGTGGGTACCATGGCTGGCTTTAGTTGACTGATGACTGGCCTTGGTAGCATTGTGGCTGTTGCTTTTATTGTCTGATCCCTCAGTCATCTGTGGGGCAGGCATACTGGTCTTTATTGCAGTAGGAGAGTTTCGGTGATGGAAGACCATCAGTTGGTTATTGTGACCTCTGACATGATTACCTGAGCTCTTTGGCATTAGTTGGCCATCCAACAGGTCACTGTCTTCAGCATTTGTGTGGTTGTGGGGGGCATTTTTTGACCTGCAGTGGGAATGCCTCTACTTCAGTGTTAGTTGATTCATCCTCAGCCAAACTGACATAGGGACACTTGGTGGACCTCAGTTGTGCCTTGGGAATTACAGACAGTGTAGTCATGGTCACCAATGCCTTTTTAGTAGGCCTAGGCCTAGGGCTCTTATTGTCAGCATCACCATCAGATTCATCATCACTGACAGGAGAAAGCATTCTGCCCTTGTCATCAATCCAGGCTTTAAACTTGAAGGTTTGTCTGACCTGGGTTTCCTGTTAGTCCTACCAAAATTCCAAGATGGCATTGGTGTCAGTGCAGTGCATTTTAGATGGCTCCAAGATCTTGGTATCTTCAGGTAGGTATGTGCTGGAGATAAATCTCAACTGTCCCTTCATGATGTCACTCCAGGACACTGGGACCTTTGGTTTTCCACAACATAGTCCTGTTGCAACCAGTATCAGATAATGATACAGGTGTCAGTCATCTGGCTTATGGTAATGAATGGTAAGGAATGACCAAATCATTGCCTTCTTGGTCTTGAGCAAGAAACCATTGATCTTGGGCAATGTTAGCAAACCTGAACAGTATAGGTCAAACTCATGGTAGGGTTTGGGAACCTGGCAGGTGCCTCCAAGCAGCATGGTGTCCTGGTCTTGGAGACATATATTGAATGCAAGTGCCTCTGAAACAATCTAGAGACTCACCAAATGCATCACTGATAAAATCCTTCCATGCTGGTAATACAACCTGCCAGTCCTTGCATTTCATGAAGCTGGAGCCCTTACTGAGCTGCTCATTGAAGTCAAACCTGGCACAACCAAGTAAGCACAATGACTGACCAACCAACCAACCAAGTCAAATGACTTGCCCAGATGTAAGCAGCCTGCCCTTCTCATCCTTCCAGGATCCCAAAACAAAAACTCTCATACTGGCCTGAGTAAATATCTCTTTGGTGAAGTTTTTTACCATTTTTTTGCCCTTCTTCCTTGCTATCTTGGCCTGGACTGCAGCATTGGGCACTTGATTTGTCCACCTCTCAGCCTTTGCCTAGGCTTCCTGTAACTCATTTCTGTCCAATTGGTGCATGGTTGCCATCATGGTCAGCTGATACTTCCTCAGTACTTCCTTGTGCACAGGCTTCTGCCCAGTCTCTTCCTGAATTTCTTTGCATATTTGCTGAAGAATCTCAGCCTTTTGCTCCTCCTCAATGACTCAGTGTGCTGTCTATTTCTTTTGCAGCTTGGTGGGTACTTTGGAATTGGCCTGGACTTTCTTGTAATTGTGGAACCACTGTCAGTATTTCTGTCCAGAGTGACTGTAATGCAGCATGACTCAGTGTCAAAGACTAAACACTTATGTCTTTACATTGCTTCAATAGCTCTTTATCCATCTTTGGAGCCAAGATCTTGGCCTCCCTGGCAGCTGCTTTGAATATCTGTCATTGTTCCATCCCACTCGCCTTCTCATAATCCTCAACATGGGACTGCAGAGTGGTGGTCTCTCAGTCATTCAACTAAGGTTGAACCCCTGTACTTATCTTTGTCCAAGCCATGTCACAGCAGGTATGTTGGAGGAAAGGACCTGACAAGAGAAGACTGTTGATATGGTAGATAGAATGATCCAAAAAAAAGGCAGATGTGTCTTGTGAGTAATGAGTGACATACCCAATGTCATAAGTGCATGTAAGGATTAGATTGTGCTGAATAGTACGAGTACCATTGCTATAAGACTTATTGAGCAGTGTAGATGCATGGGTGGGTCTGTAAAGTGAAAAAAGAGGTTATAAAGTGCTCTTGACATATCAGATATCCTATACTTATTGATTGTGCTATGGGTATCACTCCTGATGATACAATGAGATCAAAGTGACTATTACAATGGATGCATTGCATTTGACAGTCACATGTAAGCACTAAACTGTCCCATAGTCTAAGCATATTGTTTCAAACAATTCATCCACACCACAACAGCACATCTTTGATACATGGTCAAGTCAAAGCCAAAGGCCTGGAGTCCTCCAAAGACATCCTTGTTAGTTAGATGGAAGCACAAAAAAACTTCTCAAGGAGATACAGGACAATTTGTCAAAGCTCAACATTATAACAAAACAACTTCTGTTCATTCATCACCCAGGAAATCACCTACCAAGCAAGGATCCACCAGAGGACTTCACAGTGAGGGTGACTATGAGCACTACAATCTCGGAGAAATCAACTTGGAACCTTGTAGACTTTGCAAGTCCATGGTAAGCTCATCATTCATTTATCTGGTCTCATTTGCTGACACCATGTATCAAGAGTCAAAATGACTATCTATGTGAGTGGCAGTACAAGACTGAGGACTACTTGGACTTGCTCTGTCTGCCCAAAGGATGGAGTCTACAAATGTCACAGCTGCATGGGTAAGCTGCTCTTCTGCACTCATTGCTATAGGATAGTTCATAGCTACATGCCATTTCATTGGATTAGTCAATGGACTGGGGGATTCTTTGAGGACACTTCCTTGACAAAGATCGGGCTGGAAATCCACCTTGGTCACCAGGGAAAGCCTTGCCCTGAAGTGACTGAAGAGTGATACGACACAGATGATGAAGGAGACTATTTTACTGAAGGCCAGTGGGTATCTTTGGTCAATGACCCCTGGACAACTACAGTGGTGGATACATCAGGACTCCACTCCTTAATGATCAGATTCTGTCGGTACACCAATGCACTGAATCCCGACATGCAACTATTTGAAACAGGCCTCTTCCCAGCATCTTTCACTTTGCCAAAGACAACATTCACATTTGCAGTGTTGGACAACTTCCTGTTAGATAACCTGGAATGTGGGACTTTGGCTATGAACTACTATAGCAAATTAAGGCAAATCACTTCCAGCATGTTCCCTCATCTAGTTCCAGTGAGTGCTGTGAATGTCCTTCCATGTATTGCTCATAATGGCCAAAAGGACTGATATAGGGAATTGATGAGGGTGGGCAGGCAGTGGAGACAGCTGAAGATGAGAAGCCAAAGCCAAAGCCAGGGGAGCTTGCACTCTCCTGTCCTCCATGTCTGCAGCCTGGGGTAAATGTCAATTTGTCAGAAAAGAATGCAGCCAATCCTGCATGGCTATATTCGAGATCCTTGGTAATGGATGGCAATTTCAAGGCTGAGCATCTGTTTCCAGTGAATCCAACCAATGAGGTAGCATTGACTGATGGCCTTGGCTTTATGATTGGCAATGCCCAGTACAAAATGCATCTTGCTGAGGCACAGGACATTGTACATCAATCTGACTGCAACAACCACTAAGTGGTGTGAGAATCATAAAACAGCTGGCCAAGCTGCTGAGTGGAGAGCAGTATGTTCAGCCCATGGGATTCTGACTTGGCTCAGTGCTCAGAGAGTAGAAAGTATCATCAAAAAGGACTGTCATTCAGACTGGTACTGACACTGGTGAAAGAGATACATGCTTAAGTAAGCAGCAAAAATGCGAACTTAAACTAATGAAAGTGGGGACAGGTAAAGGTAAGTAAAGTAAGTAAATCTAAGCCCAAGGAAAACTTGACTGTCACAGTGGTCAACCAGGCAAATGCTTCACACCACAAGCTGGAAGTCACAGGAATAGGTGGGTGTGCTTGCACAAGACATGGATGTTTTGTCCCACATTCAATGGTGGACTTTCAGAAGGGGGAAAGGTTTGCCAACCAATATTTTACCTTGCCTGGTATGAACTCATTTACTGGTTGGCCAAAGACAGATGAACATGGATTATGCACTATGTCAAGCTCTGGGGTACAACACTGATGGGATGGACCAGGCATTGACTTTCTATGACATAAATTGTCAATACAACAAGCATCTCCAACAGCAGATTGATGACTCGCCATATCTCAACCTTTCATGGGGTATGGAGGTTATCCCTGGCATTGGGCTCTGGCATGTCCATGGACATCAAGACAAATGCTATGTATGGTATGCATCAAACTTCATGACCAGTGCTGCCAGGATTGACAGTGAAATCATGGAGACCCTGTGGGCACCCTTGCACATCACATTGTCATCAGTGAGGGGGATGTCAACCCCCAACCAAAAGGAATGTTTGGATTTTCAAATGAATGACTGCAATTTTATGAAGATGATATACATTGATGAGCTCTTTTATTTGACTGATATCACAAACTCACTATCATTCAGGCAAGTTTCTCTGCCAAAAATTCAAGGAGGCAGTGCAGGGAGTCCAAGACAGCTGATATGCATTTGACTGATTGAGCAAGACTGCTGATGATGATACCCTTGTCAAATGGGAAGCAGAGGCTGCTGCTGCTCAGGACGACCGACTCCATAATCCCAGCAGCATGGACATATATGAAGTTCAATTGACTAAAGGTCCATGGTAATAGAATAACCATTTACAATATGCTCATGGATGGGCAAAGCACCGACAAGGAAACAACAAGAGTTGCACCTGTTAAATTGTCAGGCGAGATGGCCGGCCAGTGAGATCCATCACGGGGCCACAACATGGCTGGTATCTGGAATATCATTGGAGGAGGTACAAGTTGCCCTCCTGATTGATGTGAAGAAACTGGGAAAATGGCCAACTGATGTTCAGAAATTGGCCATAGCTTGGTGCTGTGACAGACTGCAGGGTCAAATAGATGAATTTGTCAGGGTGGCAATGACATTTCTTGGTGATGAAATAGATGACCATGACCAGTTGGACCTCATGACCATGATGTTGGATGCTGCAGAATTAGATTCTGCAGGGTCATCTGATGATGATCCCAATCAGCTGGACAATGGAGACCGATATGATATGCCAGTTGAGTTCACTCCTGAGACCATGGTAATTCCACTGCCCTCCAACATTGGTATTGAAAGATGTGCTGAGTGGGGCATCGACAACCTGGTGCTGCAAGAAATATCATTGAGAGAAGGTCAAGCCAATGACACATTGCATGCTATCAGGGTTGATAAGGCTGACAAGGCTGTTCTCTTCTGCACTACAGTTCAGTTGGCAAAGTCACAAGCTTGGTGTAGGGATTTCATTTACTATGGGCTTGTATAGGCAGATATTACTTAGTGTTATGTTCGCACTTTTGGTGCTTATGTAATCATCATAGTTTTCACCACCTACCAGCACCAGTCTGAGACTGAGAGTTATTAGCATGATTTCCTATCCTCTCTGAGCACTGAGTCTAGTCCAGAAACCCTTTAGGGTTGAATAGCAGCTAGGCATAGCACATTTGACCCAACTTTAGAAGGCTACTTTCCAGTTATCTTCTTGTTGTGTTTCCCACATTAGTTAACCAGGGCATGGGCCCAGGTGCACTTGGTGGACAGGATCCTACACCTCAATGTACAGATCTACTCAAAATGCTGCAAGCAGCTCATTCACCTCAGTGCCAATGACTTATTGGCCAAGTTTCGGCCAATAGAGAAGGCTGACCTAAAGGCTACTACAGTGGTGGCAGACCCAAATGTGTGCAGTCAAAGGAATAGCACATTGGCTTGGTTCTGGTCTATCAATGTGGAAGGAGATTCCACCAGCAATGACTGGATGAATGAATGTATGCTCATTGCCTATGTACCTGTACCTATCCAGTGCTAATATTTTCTGCACAACAGTTTACTGTGTCCATTGGCTTAGAATGCTGGCACTGCATGATCAATGGGCAGAGGAGCAGCTGCTGGTTGGTCAGGAAATGATATGGGCAGTCAATTTTTTTATTCACAAATCACAACAATGGGTCGGCAAAATGCAAGAGGCCAATGCAAACCAGAAGGTCAGTCATTGGTGCTATGCAGCCTGCCAGGCTTGAATTTATCTCTGACTCTCACAGCAAGCACAAGATAGCTTTGAAAGAACAAAGGAGGTGGCTAGGGTGGCAGAGTGACAGGGGTCTGTATAGAGCCACCACTGCATTCAGGTAGTAGTAAGTGCCACAGTGGATTAGGCAATTGTATATAACCTTGTAATTCTGCATTTATTAAACCTAACCTGTCCTTGCTCCAACCATCATGTCCCATTCCTCAACCCTATCAACACATGAAATTGCCAACTTTACTGTCTAGGATGCTACCAATGTCCTAGAGTACGCCACTTCTCAGTTTGCAGCCATCTGGATTGCCTGCAACCAAAGCCATGTGCCTTGGTCAGTGGCCTACAAAGCCAGCTTTATCAGGCACCTTCAATGGGAGGCAGATGTAAGTACTTCATCTATCAGTTGGTTTGTCAGTGGTATGTCATCACTAATATCTCCTTTAGTGTTTTGTTTTCCCATACATCACCATATGTATGATCCTGAACATCCACCCTACCATGCCTGACCTCCCCCACAGCATCCTTGGCTGATTTGGCCAACTGCAAACCAGTGGAGTGGTGCTTGCCATGTAGGTGGCCTGAACCCAGAAGAGATGATCACTAGCTACTACATCCATGCCTTGTGACTAGCTGCTGACAAATGCTGTGAACTCCAGCAAACCCCGCACCTCTGCGACCCTCCTCCCTAGGGGTCCCCTACTTCATGTGCCCCCCTCAAAAAATGGAGATGTCCTCATTGACCACATCCTCATCTCCACTAGTCTCTATCATACCTGCCCTGTTTTGTCGTCGTGGTCTTTGTCTCCTGGATCATCTTCATCAGCTAGATCTTCATTGTTCTGCAGTTGTTCTTCCTCTATACTCTCTGCTCTCATTTTTGCTTGTTTGTCTTGCCTCTTTTGTTCTTCTGCCAGCTTGGTCCCTTCTCTGGGAATGAACATGTGTGCAATCATCTGGCATGGAACTCTCCTGGGATAGGACTGCTGTCTAAGTTTTCCAACTGGTATGAATTGCGCAGTCACTCTGTGATTCTACAGGGTATTGACCATTTTGGTAGTAGCTTCCTCTTCACTTCGAGCGTGTTGTGTATGCTGCTGTGATAAAATTGAGTGAGTTGTCCTGGTGAAAATATGACTTCCCTTGGTGATCACACAAGTACTCGTTTGTCAAACGTCACTTTCTGCTTGATTGCGTGCTGTATGATAGTGTTGTACCTGTCTAACTGTTGTTGTCCTACATATGCCATGTGCGTGTTGATGTCTGAGTGTCGAATGGCTGATGTGCAGTTAGTTAGGTCTGTGCAAGGTGTATTGATTACTTAGCCTAATAGGAGCTCCTTTGGTGAAAACTTCAACACTGGGAGTATTTGGTAGTTGAGTGCCATTACTGTCTCATTGAGGTGTTTTGGCCAGCTGTTCAGCAATGTGTTCCATGAAATTGCTTCATAGTCGTCTTCACCTAGGTTTGGTGCGCAAAGATGCTTGAGTACATGTAACAGTATTTTGTTAGTACCTTCTATGAGCCCATTAATCCATGGTGAATAGGCTGCTACTACGTGCATTTTGCAGGACCATTTCATACAGAAGTCTCGAACCTCTGAATTGTTGAAATGCTTACTACCATTGCTCATGAATGTTTCTGATGTGATGGAGTTCCAAAATATTTGTGAGAGGCTGTTGGTCGTTGTCTTTGCGGTACCTGCTGACTTGTATTTGTACACCCAGATGTGCTGTGAGAAGGTGTTCAGGTATACACCCAACATGCTGTATCCACCAGCTTTCAGTAACATCAGGTAGTTGCCTACAAGTAATTCAAAGGGGTGTCTGCATGTGATGGGTTCTAGAAGTGAGTGCAAATGCAGTGTTCCAAAGTTTTTGCACTTAGTGCAGTCTGTGATGGCTGACATGATAGACACATCTAATCTTGGGCTATAGATGCAGTCTGTGAGGGCGATTTTGATGGCATCTTGCCCCCAGTGTCCTCCCTCTTCATGTTGTCAAATTGCAAGTTGCCTTGCTTCTTCTTGCATGATGCATTCTACCCTTCCTCATGCTCATACTGCTGTGCCTCCACATAAATGCCATAACTTCCTGTCTTCGATCATGTATTGCAAGGCCCTGTGCTTTGCACGTTTCCGATCCTTAAGTGGCCCTGTTGAATTCAGTTGTGCAATTGATTCAATGACTTTGTGAAACACTGGTTCATTGACAAATCATTCCTGTAAACTTTTGGTGAGTTGCAATTCATTTGTGGGAGTGCTGAATAGGATATCATTGACTAATCCATGTTTGCTTCCCAGTCTTCACTGACAGTCCAGTCACTACCATCCAAAAGTCCGATATCTCTTGGTTGCCCTTCCCATTGCCTACTTAACCTGTCTGCTATCACATTGAGTTTCCCTGGTACATGCCTAACATCAATTATTCGATGTGCAAGGATTCCATCTCTCCAGCATGCATGTGCTACATTCATGTGGTCATTGAGGAGTACATCTCATAATGCCTGGCAGTCAGTTTCTATTTCCACTGGGAAACCCCATACCATGTCCGAAAACTTATCCAATCTGAATTTTAGGGCCACAAATTCTAATAGGAAAGGTTTGTACTTTTGTTCAGACACTGATGTACGTTTTGATGCAAATCCTATTGGCAGGAGTCATTCTACCCATTTGCCTGAGGGTTTCTGAATGTGGGTATGTTGGGACAGTACCACTGCTAGGCCTTCTTGGCATCTGTCGGATGTTACCGCAAATGGTGATCCGTCATATTGAGGTGCTTGCAGTATGGGCTGTGCAATAAGGGCTGCTTTGAGAGTTAGGAAGACTTTTGTATGTTCCTTGGTCCATCATTCTGCTAAATTGAAGTCATGTAGTGTGTGCCAATATGTGTTTTTGGTGTATGGTACTTGAAGTGAGGCCATTTTCACCAAGTCCCATAGCGGTCCTTCTCATTTGGCATATCCTTGTACAAGGTTGCAGAAGTGACTCGTGAGACCTAAGAATGATTCCAAGTTAAGTGCATCAGCTGGTTGTACCCAATTCACAATGGCCATTAGTTTCTCTAGGTCTGGCTGGACACCTTGTGGTCCTACTGTGGCACCCGCAAATGTGGTCTCTGTCATGAATAGTCTGCATTTTGACAGGGAAAGAGACAGTTTCCATTCTCTGCAACACTCAAAGACCTGCATGAGTTTCTCTAGCATTTCGTTGAAGGTGTTTGCTGCACATGCTCCATTGTCGATGAATAGTTCCATTGTACCATCTGCAATCAAATCATGTAGGTGAGTAGTGGTCATGTCTGCAAATGTGGATGGTGCGCCTGTGAGCCCCATTGGCATGTGTTTGTACCAGAACCAGCCTCTTCCCTCAACATAAAACACAGTACATGGTCTTGATTCCTCTGGTACTGCAATGGCATAAAACCCTGATGCAAAGTTGAAGACCAAAACATATCGATGACTGCTGAGCCAGAATTGTTTGGTGCAGATGTCTCCTTGTGGCATGGGGGCGATAACTGTATGTCAGTTGACCTTGTTGAAGTTTTGGCATATGCACCACTTCTGTGGTCCATCTGGCTGTGGGAATATCATTTGTCCTGGGACCTCTTGTTCTGGTAATGTGAAGGCTGGTGGCATTCCATTCTGTTGACACTGTTTGTTGACCCGATACTGAAGTTCTTCTAGTGAGAGACCTCCATATTTGTGCGCCTTTTGTGCCAGTACTGTGGTGGCTGCACACTTCATTTGGTCAGGTGGTGCTCACTCTATGATTCCTGCGACCAGCATTTCATCTATTTTTCCATGGAGAAATTGCAGCTGCGGGGGGGTGAGTGCTCTTTGGTGAACTCGTAAATGGAATGTGACACCCTCTGGGATGTTCAGGGAGTGTTTGGCACCTGGTACTGGAAATGCCTCCATGAGCGGTCCTGCAAATATATCTGCAAATGACAATGTAAGCTTCTCTGCGCATTCCCGTTCTCCTACCATTAAATCATTGCCATATTGAACTTTCTTGATGATAAAGGCTACTCAAATTGTGTTGAATGGGTCCATAAGCCTTGTGAAAATGGCATCGTCATTTTCTAGGAAGCCTACTGGTATTTCTTTCAACATTGCTTCTATCGATGCTTCAGGCATGTCTCCATCTTCCATTAGTATACAAATGGGTATTTTGTTTTCTGTTGGTGTAATTGGGTCAGTATTCTTGTCTTCTGTGCTCACCTGCTGTTTTGTTTTTGACTCTTCGCTCATTCTCCATCTTTGACCTCCTACATGTCTAGCTGCATTGTGGCTGGCTAAACAGTTTGGCTTTGATTTCAGATTCTTCTTCTCTTGATGTGCTGGTGGGTGTTTATTTCTATCTTCACCTTGATCTTCTGACGATGCTCCTAGGTTGTGTACTTCCTCTACCACTTCATTGATATAAGCTTTCTTTACTAGGCTGAGGTTGTGTAATGTGTGTGTTCCTCCAATGCCTATGATATCTACTTCATCTGCCTAATAGTTGTGAACGGCTTTGAATGCATGTAGCATCAGTTTCCCAAATAGAAACTTCCATCCGCCACCACTGTCAAACACCTTGAACTCCCTGTATGCTTTGATTCCTTTGATTTCAACCTCTCCTCTCCATGTTGCACATGAAGGAATGATAGTGCCATTGGCCATTCGCAATCGTTTGCTTGATGGTGTCCAATTCCCAAGATGATGCTTGATTTTTTCAAAGAATGAGGAGCACATTGCACTGATCATTGCTCCTTCGTCAAATAGGGCTGTGACTTGTATGACTTCTCCATTGGGTCCTGTGAATGCAACATTTTGTAAAAAGGGAAGGCATGCATTTTAGGACTGTTCCTCATCCACTGAGTACAGGTTAACAATGTTGCATTGTTCACTAGGATCGATAAACATGATGACATGATCTTTACAAGACATTGACTCGGCTAGATTGTTGTATTGGTCCTCACATGCTTCCTTTTCTTGTGCAAGGACTGGTAGTCCATCACTATGAGGTGTGTTATGCAGGTGGGTCAGTCGAGTGGTCCTCTACACTAACAACCCATTCCCATTTCCCTGCTCTCCCCTGGCTGGTGCATACATGTACATCAAATACTATGTTCACCTGTGGCACTGTAGCCCTGTTGAACATGCCTAACATGCAGTGTGCATAGTCCCCTCCAGATTAACTCATTCTTTGGCAATTGGTTGTCCACTGGGACTTGGCGCTCTGGACTGATGTGCCCATGTAACCCACATCTGAAGCATTCTCCTAAACATATCTGTGCCATTCCTGGCATCAATGGATATAGGTGTCTGATCTGAGCACCTTGTTCCTCCTCCCCACAAATTTTCCCATTGTTGTACCTGTTCCATGTAGGCTACTTGCCCACCTGGGGTGTCTTGGTGGTGCATTAGCTCATTAACATGAGCTCGCATTGTGTCTTGTTCTTCTGCGTAGGTGGTTGACCTCTGGGATGTTGCATTGCACTCTGATTCACTGTGACATAGCATATTTGTCAGCAAGCTGGTATATTGCTAGATGGGTTGGTTGGGGCATTACATGCTGTGTTCATGTTGCTAGAGGGTGGGGATGAGGTATTGATTGGTCCGATCACTGTGTGCTGCATCTGGAGACGCAAGATTTCAATGGGGTCCATTTGCCTATTCTCAAGCTTTGCTATCCTCAAATTCTGCACTTTCTCCGCTTCTTTCTTCTCCTTCTCTTGTCGAGCTTTGTCTTGGATGACATCAATATTTGCATCCTTTATATCATCTAAGAATACTGTCCATGTAGCTGGTGCTGGTGAGGTGAGGTCTCGTATGACACATGGAAGCACTTCACAGACTTGATGGATGAACACTGGTGCATTAGCTATGCCCATGTCTTGGACTAACTTTTGTAGATGTCTGTGGTAATGGAGATGCGACCAGGTTGAGACACCTGCTACTGTGATGTGTTCTCCTACATCATCTTCCTTGAGTCTCAGCATGAGGAGCTCCTCCTGATAATCTAGTGTAGATTTTGCAGCTACCACTATAGCTGGCCATTGTGCTTGAAATGCTACTTTGATGGTCGTCCATGAGGTCAATTGTGCTGCTGTTAGGGTGTTCCACCATATGTCCGCTTGTGAGCCTGTGGAGATGAACATGCCAAATAAGGTGACCTTCGTCGCTTCATCAGTGATTCTAGTGACTTGGATATATCTCTCTACTTCACACAAAAAATTCTGTGGGTTTTCATTCTCGTTTCCATTGAACAATGTTGGCATGGGTGCAGTTGCCATTGGTAGATGTTGAATTTGGACTGGAATGGGTGGTGGTGCAATGCTTATCTTCGGGGATGGCCTCAGTTTGCTTATGTTATGGATGGTGAGTTGATGCAGGTATTAAGTCGATGGGAATGGGAATGGGATTGGGATTGGGAGGCTGATCTCTGGAATGGGGATGTTAGTGGATGGATCCAGTGCTCCTGGTAATGATTCCTCGTCATCTTCACATTCTTTTAGTTGCCTATTGACCTTGTGTTCCGACATTGATGTGTCATTGTCCAATAAAGCATGTTCATCAATTTCTGGAGTATCTAGTGGTGATGAGTTCTCTGACACAAATTCTGAGAGTTCTGAGGTGGGGTCTGTCTTCTTGGTGAATCATCCTCCTTTGCCTCTGGGCAGAAGGGACTTTTTCTTTGTTCATTTGGCTAAGGGAAGATCAGACATCAGTGATGGGTTTTTGTACTTCTGAGTTGAAATGCTATGCTTTGAACATGTTTTCCTTATGGCTCTAATGCAGTGGATTCTCTTAATTCTCAAATGTGTGCTTGTGTATTCCATGAGGCTTCTAGATTTGGTTCTGGGTTCAACTCTGGATGTGGCTCTGGACTTGGCTCTGGACTCGGCTCTGGACTTGGAGGGAAAGCTCTAAGGCAGCAACTTGGTTGAGACAAACTTGCTCTGTTCACCAGTTGGAGTGGTGCTCACCATGTAGGTGGCCTGAACCCAGAAGAGATGATTACTAGCTACTGCATCTGTGTATTGTGACTAGCTGCTGATAAACACTGTGAACTCTGGCAAACCCCGCACCTCTGCAACCCTCCTCCCTAGGGGCCCCCTACTCCACTGGGAACATCACCACTGAGCAATTCTTTGACAAATTCTTTGCGCACTGCTCTCAAAATGACCCTGAACTGAGGTCTACTCACAGAGTTGTACCTAATTACTCTCATAATTGGTGGAAGGATTGCTTTGACACCTTGGGATTACTGCTGCCATTCTTGGATGTCAATGAGGTCATGGACATGACCCATGACCACTTTGAACAACTGGTCAGTCATTTTCCTTAGATATCTCTTATGCTGGACTTCCACTTATGCTCATTTGTAGCCTATGGGAGCAATGCTGGTGCCGGGCCCTGTGGTCACTGGTCAAGTGGAAGGTGAACCCCTCCTCAATCAAATTATGGCAGTGAAGGCCCACATCCAACATCTCAGCAAGTCACTGGAAAGTATGTTAGAAGAGAAGATCCAGAAGGCCGTAGAGGCCACAGCAACTATGTCCAACTTGAGGGGCCCATGGATGAGCTGGAGCAAGCACTCTTGAACTCTTGCTGGTAATTTTTCAGCTGGTTGTATAAAACTGGAGATGTATACAGCATTACCAAATGTGATTTGGTCATTGTGTATATGAGCCAATTATCACCGAGTGCTGTTCTTCCCTGATCATGACTTCAGTTCTGGCCTACTGTGCATTGCATACCACATGTATCGCTAGTGACTTTGTGAAACAGCTGTTTGATTGTAATGTAGCTGGCAACTGACAGTCAATATTGCCTCCCTTGGTAATAGATGTGTTGACTATGCTTGCTTGTCAACAGTTGGCCTGGGTGCTTGCTGATGCATATTCAAACCCAAGTAGGCCATTCCTATCATTTGGTCGGTGGTACCCTAACCCAATGCAGTCCAACTTGATATTGATATGATTTGGTACAATGCAGCCCTCCATAAACACTCTAATGGGAGGGTTACAACACATGAAGATGTCATGCTCCAAAAATTCCCTCATGGGTCAGAACATTTGCTGGAGAAGCCCTCAGTCATTTTGGATTTGGCCAGCTGTATTATCTTGCGGTACCTTCCAGATGCCATCAGCCCTTGTGTTAAGGTCATACTCAAGGGCTAAATGGATCCTAAGGGCTTTGGCCTCAGCTCATGTGCTGTGCCCCTTACCCAAGTATTGCCCCTTATTTCAGGAGGACAAGACTAACACATCTGGATGGTTGGATGAGTAGTGTAGCGGATTCAGATGACTTCCAGATGTAGGATAAGTATTGTAAGGCTAACCCGGATGAGTCCAGACTAGAAACTAACAGTAGTGGACTATCATAGACAGAGGTAGATATGGATAGACTATAGGAATCAATCCTAAGTCTCAGAGGGTGATGAGAATAGAGGTACTCAGGTCCAGAGGACAGGAATGAGCAGAACTAAGATAATATTCAGACTGAGGATTCTACTGGAGTTGTACAGGGGTTATATACTAGGGGATATCCGAGAGGATCAGTAAGCAATGGAGTAAGGCTATGTACAAGCATGCAGAAACATATTAGTAAGTAAGACAGAACATAAGTAAATGAACTTGGAGATGAAACTAGTACAAGGATCAATCAGCAAGACGGAAACAGAGATAACTGAGAACCGGAAAGGCAGAGATGCCTAAATGGGGATAGGTGCAGGATCTTGGACAGAGGGTGGGAATAGGTCTGAAGATAGTACAGTTAATATCCGGAGGTCCGGAGATCTGGGGATCCAGAAGGCAGGACGGAAACAGGACTGAGATATGTGAGGCAGTGAATGTAGTCTGGAATCTGAGAGGAGGTAAAGTACAGATGTCTTGCTGGACAGAATGTGCATAAGGTGGACAGGATAGGGGTGTATGGATCAGGCTAGTAGTGAAGATCTGGAGGTCTGGAGCTCAGGGGTAATTCCATAGCAGAGCTAATCCTGCTTAGATATGGAGCACACAGTGGAAGGGGATCTGGGAATGAGTCAGAGGTGGGGTCCAGAAATAGGCCCAGAAAGCATGGGAATATTATGGGATCTAGGTCCGGCATATGGGATATGACACCTTGGATTCAAGTGAGCTAATTTATTATGACCTATCAGCCAACTAATTCACCGACCTCACAGGCCAAGATGGAAGAAGCTACTATTAGTATGTGCTCCCTTCTGAAGAAAAGCATGACCAGTGTTCTGGACACCCAGTGGAGAACATTCCCCAGGAATTTTCATGCCAGTGACCGACATAAATTGACCCCAGGATGTATAAATTTAGCCCCTTGCTGGTTCCTGCAAGGCCAGGAGGTCAGTAATGCTTCTTCACCAGAATACTCATGCTTGTGTAGACATTCTAGCCACACAGTTTTCCACCAACTGATAGGTTCACCCCTGAGGTGTTGGCCACCCTGAAAGGGAAAGGTGGACACAAGGTCATAATATCTATGCAGCATGCAGCACTACTGGCCTCAGCAGCTCTTTGGGTGATGCATCCAAAGTTGTATTGGGTTTTAGTCACCATGCAGATAAAACTTGCCCAATGGGCCATAGAACATGGCCTCAGTGATATGTGCACTTGCCTGCAATTTTGGGCCTTGGTGTTCAATTGTGCATCTGTCATTTGTAACAGACAATGCCCTCTTCACCATGACCCAAGTTCTACCCCTGAAGGGTTTATTATCATGACCAGTGTCAGCCATTATTGTGACAGGCTCATGACACTATCCAACCTCAGTATTCAGTTGCAATATAACTCGGGTACTATGGTTGGCTGCTCTAGACACATTGTCAGGCATAGTGTCACATACACCAGTGATTGCATTGTATGGGCTTGGTTCATGTGTGACAGCCTTTACAATTTCATGGGGACACCTCAGCCATTGTACATGACTTACATGGATGTGGATTGGGATGTCAACTTAGATAGTGCAGTAATTGTGTGATAATAACTGATGGTAGTATTCGGCATTTGACTGACCAACTGGTCCGCCCTATAGCATCCATGTATTCATTTACATTGGCCCATATGATAACATTAGTTCCATCTGCTGACCTGATAGCACAAGGCATTTATTTCCTTTGGCCCATATGATAATACGAGGTATTCAGATTCATCAGCCCATATGTTTGCATCAGCACCATTGGCTGACATGTTGGCATCAGGAATTCATTTCCTTCAGCCCATATGATAATAACAGGTACCGGCCCACCCTATAACATCATGTATACATGTCCATTGGCCCATATAATAACATCAGTACCATCAGCCCATATGACTACATCAGGTATTCATGTTCTTGGCCCATCTAATTGCATCGGGTATGCAGTGTCATTGGCCCATACATTTACATCAGTGCCATTGGCCAACATGATGGCATCAGGCATTCATGTCCTTTGGCCCATATGATAAGATCAGTGCCATTGGCCAACATGATAGCATTGGGTGTTCATTGCCCTCGGCCCATTGGACTGCCTCAGGCATTTGTTTCAATTGGCCCATATGATAAGATCAGTGCCATTGGCCGACATGATGTCATTGCCTTCAGCCCATATGATAATATCAGGTATTGAGTTCTATTGGCCCATATGATGGCATCAGTTCTATTGGCTGACATGATTGCATCAGGTATTTAGGTTCATCTGCCCATATGGCGGATACCCCAGGCATGGCCAATAGAACTCAATGCCTGATGTTATTGTATGGTGCTCAGTCCATCCCACTCATACTACCATGATGTTTGGATTTCACTCACACAATCCCTGTTGGCTGGTTCCCTGAACATGGGGACCATATGTCAAGGTATCAAAAGAAGTTTGTCTGCAACTGACAGAGCGGTGGTATGCTAAATGCCTTGATGAGGACTATGAGATCCAACTTGTCCTCAACTATATCAATGTGAAGGCCACAGATTTGGTAGTGAAATTTAAACAGCCTCGTTGCTGATATTTAGAATGATTCTCACTTGGATCTGTGGTCCACCACAAACACAACAAGACCAGTGCATGGCATGCATATTTGCACTTTAAAGGCATTGAGAGCAATGCTAGTAAGTGTACTTTTATGGTACATGAAATTGATTTCTAACTTAGTACTATTCTAGACAAAGGTAGAATGGAGAAGTTGAACATCAGCGACCTTGTCAAGGAAACTAGTGACTATCACAAGCTCACTGACCAGCAGAAGAAGCAACTCATAAGCAAGTTTGACAAAGTCAAGAAAGGTGCTTAGGATTGTTCTTCTAATGTTACTGCTCCTACATGTGCTGCAGAGTGTGCCTGTAGTTTTCAATTTGTGAGAGAAGAGGTGAGAAATTTATTTTTAAATTTGCAACACATCTGAATTAAATAAACTCATCTGCAGCTTGAAGCTCTCAATAAACGTGTCAGTGCTGAGGCTTTTATCATCATGGTTCATGGCATTTTTCACCAGCTCTGCAATGGAACAATTTGTCCATTTGTATTTGCACAAAGACATTGCCAAGATGGCAACTGACTTTGAAAGCACTGTGCTGGCCAATGGCCTTGTCATCAGTGAGTATATCTTTGGATATTCTACAATTTGAATGATGCTCATTTTTATCTAGGCACAGCTGCTAACCATCATGAACATGTGGCAAAAGCAAAGACTGCCATCCACATTGGCCTATGTACATCACTCTGTAAGCACCATTTATTGACTTGTTCTAATTATATGCTCATTCATAGTAGGTGATGTGACAGATGATCCCTCTGCAACAGTCGAGTTTACCCAGTACAACAATCTTGTGTGTGAATACCACATCAAACTGGTGGGATAGAACCACCCCCAATGGGCCAACCCATCAGACTTAAAAGGGGGGATTGAAAGCCTCAAGAAAGTTGCTAGTGCTATTGCAGAAGGGACTTGCAAGTTTGTGTCAATCACACATGAAGAAGTTGAAGAACAGATGGTGCATATCAAGAATGGGGAGAAGCTCACTCCTGAGCTCAAGCCTCTCACGACATCTGACACCCTTCCTTCACAAACACCAGCCATGACACATAACTCCCTTCCTTCACAAACACTGGCCACAACACGCAACTCTCTTCCTGCTCAAACCACTCACACCTCCTTGATTACAGATGTCATGGTGGATCCCACACTTCATGTTCTTGACAATTGTAAGTGTCATATTAACTTTTGTCATTGTCATTGTGTTAATATTGTCTTTTCAGCTTCTACTATGCCTGTGGAGCATCTTCTGAGTCAGCCTGATAGTGGTAGGTGACATTAAATATTCTGTTTCATAGTGTCATTGACATCTCTGTTTCTCAGCTCTGGCTACTGTGCAGCTTCCCCCCAGTCAGTCTCAAGTGCATGCTACTACCCTACCCCCTTCAACCAATGAAGATGCCCTTGTCTCGAGGATAAATAGCAGCTGCAAGCAACCTGTAGACAATACTGCACCATCCAAAGGACAACACCAAAAGCATGCCCACAAGCTCACTGAAAAGGTGCAGCTGCTGGGCAGCCTGGGCTCTGACTCATGTGAGAAGCATAAAGTACAGCGCAAAGCAAAAGATGGACAGCAGACAAAAAGGAGCAAGGCTGTCATTGATTCCAACCAAGAGAATAACATGTAGAATAGATTTTGGGCAATATATCAACTGTTTTGTGTACATCTAATTTCCATCTATCATTTGTTATCAATTACAAAAAAGCACTATCAAATATATGTTATTTTGACTATGTACTCCAGCTCGCTGTCACAGACGATGAGTGCAAGGGCAGCAGCATTGTGCTGCTTATGTGAGGTGACAATGTTACCCAATTAAGTGACTGAGTAAACAAACCCACAGTGTGCCACCACTGGTGCCATCAGTGAACTCATGAGTCCATGATTTTGTAGTTGTAGGAACTACAGAGGGAAGTAATTCTGCTCCTGTCAAACATAGCTATATGTACTGTGAAAAATTAGAGTGACTGGTACATAGCCATGGATGTATGCACAACTAGAGTGCAATGAGGAGTCACTTACAAGATTGCAATAATGCAACAAAACAGCCAGCAAGGGATTGTAGTGTGATTGCTGCCAAGTTGTTCGATATACTTATTTGTAGTAATACAACTTTTCGATGCCAAAGCTATTCATGCCCTTATTGTGGAAAGTTGCACTAGCATCTCTCATCAAACATGTATTGCATTGCAGATTTCAACAATATTATGACATTGCATCATTACAGCCTGAAGGTGAATGATAGATGATTGTGTTCAAGTTGCTGAGAATCCATGTTTGCCGTCATCTGGGCTTGTGTAGGAGATAGTCATGTAATTTGCATAATATTGTCTTAACTGGCAAAGAAAGAGATGGATTGGAATGAAAACCAAGTTGGACATGTGACTGAACGATTTCATTGTGAAGGGATGATAAGTGAGACAATCCTAAGTCGATATCCTAGTAGTACATACACAAACAATTAAATACAGATTTTTTGCATTTGGGGAAGAGGTTGAATCAATGATCATTGGGGTGAGAAACACAGCAAAGGAAAAGGACGATACAGGCCCACAACAAGATAGGTCTTGATTTCTTGTCAGTGACCGTTTCACCATGTACACTTATACTGGTGGCAGCAGTAGGAGGTGTCATGGACATTGAGGTGACCACATGCGCCTGAGGTTGAGGTAAAGGTAATTTCTGCTGCCAATATTCTGGCAGCTGGGCAACAAACAACGCCTGCACAGATCGTTGCACCTCTGATCATCAAAAACATATCTGCAAAAGACTTGCCTGTTTATCCTTCATTCCTGCAATTTCAATGTTCCCTTGGAATATGGCAAGTCTTGAGAGATATAATTAAGAGTGTTGCTTTCAGGATGCACCAGCACTAGGTATGGTGGTACTGGATGTAATCAGCTGTGCTTCAGATTGGAACTTTGGGTGTCAGGAATATTGGTATGGGGGCGCAGGGACCCCTGATAGTCGGATGTTGGATGTTGTGGGATCCAGGCTTGATATCACTCAGACAATTCCTTGCCTATTCCTTTGATTGGTTGCTCATCAATTTCATGAGACAGTAGGTCGCAGTAATCAACTGAAGAGCCAAATGGGTTAGAATACACAGGTGTACTTGCACTGACATTTCTTGGTGTAAATCAGCACTTGTCTGCAAGCACTATTCAAGTCAAGTCGAGTATGAATGGCGGACTTCCTTCACAGGGTCCCAACAGTAAAGTGGACATTTCTGAGCATCAGTACATGACAGTTTCATGGAAGATCTGACATTAAATTAATTCAATTGAGCAATGCATGGGAAGATAAACTTACTTAATGACAGTCTTGCCCAACCACTTGTTGATGACTTTACACTCCTTGGTCATGGTAAAGACAGCTGAAAATGCCAGATGTTCAACACCCAGGTTGAGACTGCACACCTCTTCACTAATGGTGGGAGGAAGCATGGGGAAGGTGTGCTGCACAAGATGTATGCTGGTTGCCCTTTTGCAAGCACTGTGGTCAAGAGAAGTGTTAGGCTTGATGAACTCACATTCTTGTTCTCTGCCCCCACCACCTTACCCTGGCGAGAGTCCAGCACTGGCTGACAGGTGCAAACATACAATGACACTATGCACCACCACATCAATAGGTGTGGGTCATGAAGTTGTCACCCATGCCTTGTGGGATTTTGGCTTCTGTTGTTGCTTCGTGAATCCATGCTCAAATAGCATCGTGTGAGATAGGTATTCCTGCTCTGACACAGGTGGATAGTTAACATTGCACAAGACCCTGAGCGCAATACTTACATTGGATTACTTCAGCCCATTTTGGTCAGGCAAAGTAATCTACCACATGTATCATTGACAAATCCACAACAATATTCATCCTCATGGTTGACTGGGTGATTGGGCATCCAAGTTGTCCATATCAGTGGTATATCCATCATAGAGGAATACTGGCCAGGACATTGTGCCATCACCCTCACCAGACACTTAGGAAGGGAATGTAAATATGGCCTTAAAGGCCTGCCAACCAAAATTGAGATCTTTGTCAAACTACCTGATTATGACGAACCTGAATTAATAGCTTGCTTTTGAATAGACCCTCCCCCAGGCTGTCCATATCAGGATATATCCATCATAGAGGAACACTGGCCAGGACATTTCTGTCACCACATGGCCATCTGTATGGTCCCTAATTCCTGCTCTGATGCTGGTGGATAGTTAGCATCACACAAGACCCTGAACACAATACTTACACTGGATTACTCCAATCCATTCCAGTTGGGCAAAGTAATTTACCACATGTATCATTGATGAATTCGCAACAATGTCTATCCCTGTGGTTGACTGGGGGATTGGGCTTGAATTCCCGATTTACCCAATCAGGGATGAGACCCTTCAGCTTTGATGTGTTGTCTCCTCAAGCACTGTCAGCCCCCTGCCTGAGCTGAATAGCTATTCAACACAGTAGCAATATTGAAATGAGCGATACACACCATTTTCAACATATGCATGTATTCTTCATACTCTATCTCTGTAGCCTTTTGATGGAACCAGGGGAGGGCGTTGTTAAGGGCTATGTATCCCAGCTGCAAACGATCCTGCCTGTCTTAATTGAAGCCATGAGCAGCATCTGTGAGGAACTCCAATCATGAGTCTGGAAAACAATTTGCCTGAAATATTATAGATAAAGTCAAACACAAACCATGTGTTATGGTGAACTAGGATGGGTGCGACAATAGGTACTTGATAAGAGTAACGCCTAAGGCCGGATCAAGTCCTTACAAATGTAAGGTTCTTAAGACAAGTCGAAGAGAGTGTCTTCGGCTTGAATATCGGTTATCAGACAACTTAGGATTGGAGGTCCTAAGTGAAGGATAGTTCTGGGTAAAACCTAGTAGATTAAAGTGAAGTCCTATCTAAGTACGCGACCGAGTTTAAATAGATGTAGGTACTTTAGGGCAGGTACGTATACGTCATAGGTCGAGTCAGAGATAAGGAGGTGAGTCATCCAGTGACGTCAGAAGTCGAGTCAGAGATAAGGAAATGAGTCATCCAGTGACGTCAGAATTCAAGTCAGAGATAAGGAAATGAGTCATCTAGCGACGGCATGTGGCGGTCGTGATGTAATACAGCTATGGAAAGCGATGAGTCTACTGATGGCACACCGAGGTGCGGTCATGACGTAATACACAAGTACGAGAAAAAGAGATAAGGGGTGACCACGATTGTAACACCATGGATAGTGTGTTGGCTGAGTGCTGTGTGGGATAAATGGACCATAAATGATGTTCATCAGAGTATTCCTGTAAATGATGACAGGTGTTGAACGAGGAACAATCTCGCCACTGTACAGCACTGCTCACCTTTGATCTGCTGTTCGTGAGGTATGCAAAAGCAAAGTAGCTAAGAGCATCCAAAACTTTCCACCAACATTGAAACAGTTGTACAATGCTGACAAGCACTCCATCACGTTGTGCAGCACCTGGAGAAGCTGCTTCTGGAACCATTTCTGGTGCTGGCCATGTTTCAGAGGGAAGTGACACCAAGCTGTGTTCAGCTGCCACGCAAAGAAAAAGACTAATTGCTGCTTGTTTATCTGCATTTAGAAGAACTAGTCAGTTACAGGTGGGTGAGTAGTACAGGAGGAGTAGCTACCAAGAGGGTTTTGCTGTTAGCATTTGGTAAAGGTCATGTGCATGAGTCCCGCAGTCAGCAAGGAATGGCAGACTTCTCAACAATGATCTTAGTTATAGTATGAGCAGCGAGTTTAATACAGTCAAGCTCCAATTCATTGGTGCACGATCGCATAATGTGAGGACAGATGAAATATTGTCAGAGTCCATCTCGGAGTGCAAGAGCACCACGCTACAGCAACAGAAGATGATGGATACCAGGAGAGCACTGATAGGTCACCAATACTGTAGATAAGAACTTGAACTCAACAAACAAACATACCACAATACACCTTGGCAGACTTGAATTGCTGTTACAAATCCATTCAGCGACTTTAGTATATGTATGTTGATGGGTTGGTGGTTGGTTAATCAAATTAGCAGCAGAGCATGCATAATATTCATCTCTGCAACACATGGGACTCAAGTAGCAGTCAGAACTTCAACACCAAACTTCTGCAGCCCTACTATTCCAGCATCCTATTTGCTTGTCCTGGCAGCCCAATGCGCCAGCATCAATTGCACCAGTATCCTCCCTTAAAAGCCATATGAATATGTAAAGTTGCCAACATATGAAGCCACTCCTCAAAATGGCACTTACCAACAAGTAGACTTGCCAAAAAATAGACGTAACACTTGATCCTAGAATGAAAGCAGGTCATCAAATTCATCTTCATCCAAGTCATCCTCTCTGTCTTCCTCTGAGTTGCTTTCATCGTCTAGTTCCTTGTCACTAGACTCTTTATCACCTTCATCACATCCAGCATCATTTGTGTCATTATCATCACCATTGATGACTTCTTCATGTTCATCAGTATTGACAATATCCATGACATTAGTTGGTGCCATCAAGTCAGAGCCAAAGCAGTCTCTGACAGACTTTTGCAGCATTACTAGGTGTCCAACACCAAAGCCAGTATAGTGCATGAACATGTCTCTATCAACAAATCTAACCATAACGCCAAGGGTTAACACGCGGTCATAAGTAAGATTAACACTTACATTCCCACATAATGCTCTTCCCAGTCATCTAGCTCTTCCCCCAGATGTGCCAATGATTTTCCATAGTGGAGGGAACCCATACCACATCCAGAGGTGAATGCAGGAATCAAATGAGCTCCTCGAACTACTTGGCCTGGATTGAGAAACCCAAATGCATCTGGGTTGGACTCATCCACAAACACAACCTTCAGAAGACGAGCATGTTTCCAACCAGATTGATGTTGTTGCAATGGTGCCAGCCACCTGACCCAGAGAACTTTGAGGTGCTGCTTCAAAGGTTGGCCTCCATCATTGATCCATGTTTCCATGTGAAAGATATTCAATATGTGGGCATACCAGTATGGGTGGTGGGGTTTCATCTCACCTGAAAGCACCATGACATTGGCATGAGTTCTAGGGTTAACAGTGTCATATTCCTGCCTGAGGTCATAGGTGGTATAATATATCTGCATTGTGTGAACAGAGTAGATTGTATTATTGGGAATGATCACTGAGTTGTGTTCTTCATCTGTGAAAATATGGTCACAGTAGGTGATGTCGAGCTGTCATAGCTGGTAAAGGATATGATCCTTTAGTTTTGGTAGGAAATTCTGACAACCATTGTGAGAAAATTGTAATGTGCATCCACACTGATATTAAGCCTACCTTCATTGCTGAATCTCCATTATGTTCTCAGAGGAACATAAATAGGTTGACTGGATTACCCTGACTAGTGGCTATATAGTGATGCTTTCCACAGGATGCCATGGGGGTGTTATCAGCAGGTGACTGATTATCAAGGGAGGATGTGCCATCTGTATCTGCTATCCTTTGAAGCACATGGCACCTGCACTCATGTTTTGCCAACTGTGCTGGGGGATCAGATTTGTTAGTTAGTGGATAGAACATCTTTAGAGCTCTATGCACAAGCTCTCCCTGACCGAAATTCAACTTCAAGCAGACAGTGAAAATGTGCCAGGCACTTACTATTTGAGTCATGAAAGAATCCATACTCCCAAAGAACTGGATGGTTCTCGCATAATCTCCCATTGTGTGGAATTTGTAGGTATTCAGATTGAATCTCTTTACCCTTGCACTTGATTCTGAAAAGCCATGTTGTTTTCAGAGGACTGTGTGAACCTTCATTGACGAGCTCTTCTCTCTTTCAGTAACTCCATGGTATTGAATGAAGTGCAGATGGTGTGTTGAAAGTTCTGCAACTTCTGAGAGAGTATCTTGAACATGTCCTCGAGAAAAGTCACAGTTGACTCCAAGTGAAGCCTGAGTTTGGTGAGTGCATGCCATTGTGCAAATTGGTACAACAGAGGCTGCATGGCCGCATTGTGTTCAGCAGGGAATAGTCCTTCAAAAACTGGAATGGCACACCAATGTCCAAGAATGTGTCAGTGAGCCTGATGCAAGCAAATGAATAACATGAGAAAAACCTGCAAGATATCTTCAAAATCATGCGCTGCTAATTTTTTCATCTCAGAGGTATTATTCACAAACTTTCAAATTACACCATTACCAAAAGTCGGAACTTGACAAAACCTATGGCGAGGATTGAGAAGCAACCATTCATCAGCAGTCATGGATAGATAATGACTCCACATACCTGGCATTGAGTTTCGTGACCCACTGATCACCACCAGGAAGGGCATAAAGAAACCTGATAAGGTGACTGAACAGCGCTTTCCATGTACCTAATTCACATTCATGCATGAAGTCAACAACAAGCATGCAAAATGGGTTGTGGCCAAGCAAGCCAAGCTTCACAACAAATTGATTCTGCAAATAGTGGGTTGAGTTGATCGCAAGTCATAAGAGAAAATTTATGCTTACTATAGTAGGTACCCACGAACCCTCTCCAAGAGTCCGTTCAACCTTGGAACCATTAATGGTATTTCCATCTTCATAGATATACTTACAAGCCTTGATAATGTTTGATATAATGTACACTCAGAGTTGTGTTATATGAGCTTTCATGTCCTTCAGTAGTCCAAGACAACTAAAGGAGCTTTTTGGAACAAGGCAGCAAGGGCATGCACACAATCCCATATCCTTGATGGCCACAATTAAAACTCTGAAATAATGAGTGATCTGACAGTTTTCATTGAAGAGGAATGTTACTTTTTGGGATAGTCAGCTGAGTACTTGAAAATTCAGGGGAATACTCTCCGCATCACTCTGTCAGCACATTTTAGAATAATACCATGATGGTAAGTGCTTAGAAACTCTTCATCAAGTAAGATTTCCCAACACACATGAAACAGCTCCCTGCGGCAGTGGGTATGGAGCAACACCATACCAGTATTTGATATGCGATCCAAGCAACTTAGAATATCTTTGACTCCATCAGGGAGCTGGGCAGTTGGTGTCAATCAAACAAATTGAGTGTCTGGTAATTAGCACTCACCATAAGGAAAAATCCAACTAAATGACAGGCTCTGGATTGAGGCAAAGATCAAGTGTATTTTGACAGATTTCTGAAATAAAGGTAAAGTGGCCGAGCCTTCATGGTTCCGAAATTCACCAGGTGGGTGGCATCAGAAAAGAACATGAGTCCCACTATAACACATTCCAGTGAGCAACCCGGTGTGATGATCATACCAGTGCTAGGCGCGTATGATCAATAGTACAGTTCTTCTCACCTTCAGGAAAGGTGTCATATCCCACAATCCAGACCCATGTTCCATCATATTCCCACGCCTTCCGAGCCTACATCCGGACCACACTTCATATCCAACTCATTCCCAGGTTCCCTTCCACTGTGTGCTCCACACCTCAGCAGGATTGACTGCGCTCTGGATTTACCCCTGAGCTCCAGACCATCGGATCTCCACTGCTAGCCTGAACCATAACCCCCTGTCCCATCCATCCTATGTACACTCCATCCAGCAAGACATTTGGACTTCACCTCATCTCAGATTCTGGACTCTATCCACCTTCTCATATCCTGGTCCTGTATCCACCTTGTCTTCTGGATCCCCAGATCTCCGGACCTCTGGATATTAGCTCTGGACCTATTCCCACCCTCTGTCCGAGATCCTGCACCTATCCCCATTTAGGCATTCTCTGCTTTCCAGCTTTCAGTTACCTCTTCTTCTGTCTTGCTTATTGATCCTTGTACAAGTCTTCATCTCCAAGTTCATTTACTTATGTTCCATCTTACTTACTAATGTGTTTCCACATGCTCGTACATAGCCTTGCTCCTTTGCTTACTGATCCCCTCATATATTGTTCAGTATATAACCCCTGTAGATACTCCTGTAGTTCCTTAGTTTGAATATCAACTTAGACTTGCCCAATCCTCTCTCAGACTTTGTTCCACCTAAGTCTGTCCTACCCATCAGGCCTAGGGATTGATTCCCTAGGCCGGAGCTCTGCCTTTCCGGCACTTACCCTCTTTCCGGACTTAGGTCCAATCCCTGTCTCTCCAACTCTACCTTAGGGTAGTCTACCTCTGTTTGTTTCTACATCAGACTCTGTCCAATGTAGCCCCTATTCCTTCTGGACCTCCGGACCTACTGTCCCTTGTACCTCCAGGCATCCTGTCCTTCAGACGTTCCACCCTCTGTACCTTCAGACGTTCCACCCTCTGTACCTTCAGACGTTCCACCCTCTGTACCTTCAGACGTTCCGCCCTCTGTACCTTCAGATGTTCCGTCCTCCTAACCCTCGGACATCCTATCCTCCTGTCCTTTGGACATCCTGCCCTCTGTACCTTTGGACATCCTGTCCTTCTGTCCTCCATCATCCTGCCCTCCTGTCCTCCTGTCCTCTGGACCTTTGGACCTCCTATCCTTCCATCCTGTTTCCTGTAGAAGTATTACCTTGCAGTGGGAACTCTCCTGAGCACTTCCTGTGTTCCTCCAGAACTCTCCCGTGCTCCTCTGGATGTTTCCCGCACTCCTCTGGAAGTCCTCTAGTGCTCTCCAGCAGAGTAGCCAGCCTCTGGAAGTCCTCTGGACTTCGTCGGACCATCATTGGACCTCATACGAAATGAAGGGCACATACTCGGGTAAGGGGCACAGCATATGAGCTGAGGCCAAGCCCCTCTGAGTCAGTCTCTCTCCCCCTTGAGCAACATGGTTCTTAACAAAAGGAGATAAAGCACAGATCATTAAATCCATATATATCGACCCATCTGCTCTTACTCCAGTCCGGTCCTAGGAATCCGCCCTCCCATGTCCTATCCATGTCCACCTATCTCTGCTGGTGCATTATTTTTCCGAAAATGTCATTGCTAAATGAGCTGCAGGTCTTATTACACGTCTACTGACATTCTGCAGCACATGATGTCTTACTACCTATAGACTCATCACATGCTTGCTAACTATGCTACAATTCTTGCCTATGCATTCCAGACATTCACATGCTATGATATAAACGACTGCAGTACATATGATTGAGTAGTTCCCTTTCCCTTGGACTCAGCTCTATAGGAGAGTCATTCTCACGTTATTTTTGTAGACCTTGCACAATCCATCTATTTTGCTCTTTCTTGACAATCCTGTGCAATTTGACCACTCTGAAGTTCCATACCACTAGGATCTTACCCTTAAGCTCTTGCAAGAATACCCTACCTGCGACCGGTAGTTTAGTGCAGTTCTTCACTCATGCTATATCCCTTGTGACTGGCCACTCCATAGAGCACGGTTTATTTCGTGCGCATTACATCTGACATCCAATACACTCGCATGTATCTTCCAACAGTTCATCCTGCTCTTGTGATACTAACATCAGTCGATTTTTTGTCCATGCTCACAGTCTATTCTTGGCATAGAAATTCAAATCCACATTCTAGTTTCTTAGGCCAACATAGGTTATAACTCCTTCGCTCACTTACTTCCCTCACACATAATGGAAGGAAGTGCTTCAATAGCAGTCCTCTCGAGCCAATCAGTTAACTTGCACCTCTTAGGATAAGTAGTGCTAGTTGCTAACCACCTAGTACCAATTACTTCTTCACACCAGCTCCTTTGGCAGTTTCTGGAGATTGTCTTGAGCTTCAAGCCATGCATCAGAGGTGTAAAGTTTATTGTATATTCATTCCTGGTGATTGTCCAAGGGATCTCTCCATAGCCATTTGAAAGGAAAGAGATGGAATGTGCCTGCTTGAACATCTGCAAATGCGGCATGAATTACATCAATGAGTGGCTGATAATGGAAACTGGCAACAGTATATGCCTTGGATGCTTCCTCCTTTGACTTCGTTGGAATATCAATGGTGATGGTAGATTCAACCCAATCATCAGGGAAATTGACCTTCCTCCCATTCTCATCTGCATCTAGTTCTCACAAACTCCTCTTTACCAAAAACCCATCAAGATGCTTCACATTGAAATCATCAGCTTGAAGAACTTCTCTGACGAGGCGCTGGACCTCAGTTTCTGACTTCTGGTGGCTACCTGAATCCATCCAGGTGATAAGGCGATAGATCAACATGTTACAAAAGGGGTAGGGCAGTGGAAGTATCACTGGGGAATCAGTTCCCTGAACAACTGTTGGACATGACTTTGCAAGTAATGACAGAGGAAGGACGATGAGGATATGACCAGCAGAGTCCAAACAAATTAAATGCAGTCTAGAGTGTGTCTCTTAGTGTCAAAAGGACATGATGGATTCTGGATTGGGCTGGAAGTGGTGAGTCATTGCCATCTTCACAACCATCGAGATCCTCAGCCGAATGCTCAATATTATTAAAAGACCTCGGGAAATGTCTCCTAGGAGGAAGTGTGGGTTCCTCAGAGACAGTGGAGTGATGTATGTGGTCAAATCCATCACCAGAATCAAGGCCCTCCCTGTCCATTGCCCTAGTTTCCAAATCTGAGGTGTGGAAGAGGTGCGGCTGCAACTCGGATGCTACGAGATTAGGGCCATCGAATGATGTGTGAGTTGTATTGGACCTAGTACTAGACTCAGTCAGGGGCCAGCAAGGGACAACTAATCATGCATGGGCCCTCAGCACATGCCCGGACCTCACTGGAAATATTCTCTATGGACACAAGTTATCAGGGATGAGTTAGACTAAACGAAGATATCTGACTCAGCAACTGACTCACTTGTGACATGTTCCCTGACCATGACTCAGACCTGTCAAAGTTGGCCAAAGTTGCATCTCTGGCCCATTGTAGTCTCCTCTGACTTGCAACAATGCTGGACCTCTTGAAAAAACTGCAAGTTGCACAATGCTGATTAAGTCCTTGACCATCAGTTGTCCCTGCCCAAGAACTGTGAGCTCCACAAGACACCATTGGAATCAGCACGAGGAGAATCCAGAGTATGTCTAGTAAGATCCACATGAAATTGTTGGCTACAATGTATTATGACAAGTGCTAGGGCTCTGTGGCACAGAAGTTAAAATACTTGGGGGTTTTATGTAAATGTGTTATGAATTAATAACTAACTGGAGGACGATAATCATATATAATCCTAAGCATTATCAACATATATAAGGATAGAGTGATTGTCAATCATAGATGATATCAAGGCACAGTGCAGTCAGGTAAAAGATCAAGTATTGTATTGTATTACACTAGATCTACCTACTTAGACTCATATACATAAAAACATGGGCATCATAAGAGCACTAGAACTCCCTTCAATCATTCTCTGCATCATCATACCACACTGTAGGTCTATTCACTAGTCCCACAAGGATCCCTCCATCACTGTTGTCCTTGGGCTCTTAATCTTGATATTCATCCCAGTCCACAGTTGCAATCACTTCCCTAAACTCTTATACCCAATTGGCTGGTAAATTTCTGCACTCTGTGAGCTGGAGGGTGTCTACACCGACACCACATATGATTTGCATTATCAAGCTGGCCTCAAGTGTCACTACAAGTTCTGCCTTGTGGAAACAGGCCGCCTTGAGCTCTAGAATGCAAAGGGAGGAATACAGAATATCCATGTTCTGTCCATTATCAACAACCTTCAGTGCAGCAATCAAGCCCCCCAGCTGGATACCCTCCAGATGAATAACTTCGACATCCAGGAGTCAGGTAAACAGACCTTGAGGGACTGTCCCAAGACCAGGGCATGCCAAGGAGAAGGAGAGAACCAGCCCAAAGCTGAAAGGCCAGGCAGAGCCACAGGGAACAAGAAAGACAAGGCAGAAAGGAAGAGTCTCATGAAGGATAGGGTTCACAGTGGTGACTTTGAGCTCAGCTACCGCACTGCTGACTTTTAATGACTCATGTCTATAGGGATGTGTATTAATATTTTTCAAGTTGACAGAAGTACCTAGCTTCATTGAGAGTTTGAGGGTCTGCAACATATGAGACACACTGTTCTATATTGAATGCTGGAATGGCCATTGGAGAAGTTGCAAAATATCAGGTAATAGTTAGACCACCAAGATTGGATTTCAGGAGAAGTGGGTTCCTGGAAGAAGTGTAAATAATGCGACCAGGCCTCATGCCAAATTGGCAATAGAGATTGAAGATTCCTAAGGGAATTGTGAAATGTCAATAAGGTGACATTTGGTAGGAGCAACACCATGACACAAGAAGTAGAAGGTAATATACTTAAGAGTCGAAGATTTGATGAAGAGCTTTTGACACAAAGCTTGTTATTGGCATCAGGTGAGGCACCTGGGGAGATTCAATGAGGGGTTAAAAAAGGCAATGGGAGCCTACTGCAGATTTATTGATCTGAGAAAGCCATGCTCTCTGCAAGTGTTGCAGGAAATTTTACCAGCAGAAACCACAGCATAGTTCTCTGCAGGGTATGAGCTGAATGCCAATCATGATCAATTAGCTTCAAAGAAAACATTACTATGAGTCAAACAAACTAGAACCTGAGGGACAAAAAGACTTACTACTGTTGGACTTGCAATTGCATAATTTTTGGAATCTTTCATTCATTGTGACATGTCCATATCCCCAGGGGGAGGTTCTGCTTGGTGGATTGTTTCTTGCATGCTGGGAGAGGGACAAGGTACACTAGGAATTATGCCACAATGGATCAGCTTGAAACCCCGCATCCCACGCACTCATGCCTCAGGCAGAAATGCTGCAGACTGCAAGCACTACAGGCATTTCTTCAGGAGGTATTGCGACAGAACAGAAGTCAGTAAAACTTTGTTGCATGCAATGGCCAATGTGACCATGACATGACCTTATGTAGAACATTGAAATACTGTAAGTTGGTCAGCTGCTGCGCCTCATAACTGTTACACCAAAAGGTAGAATACTGAAACCTTAGCTTTCAGTACCAGTGACAGTATATATATTGATTATGGGAACTCGAGTAAGCCAGCATGCTCATGCTTACAAACACTAGTAGTCATAGGATTTGGAGATGAATGAATTGCTCGCTGTTAGCACATATTATCAAATGGGAGGAGTCAACAAACATACAAACTAGTATGACAAAGGTCCAAAAACGTCATCAAACAAGGATATGAGATATAGCGCAGCTTATGCTCTACTTCCCAAATCCAAATCTGTCCCGGAAGATCAGTACAAACTTTATTGACATAGGAGTGTATGAATTACAATGGTTTTTCATCAGCACAGGTGAAATCCAGAGATGTTTCACACATAGACCGAGAGCTATAGACGCTCTAGCAGTCCTTTGGTCCATCACCAAGACACACACAAGCAATGTCTTCAATGATATCAAGTTGGTTGTATCCAGCAGCAAATAACATGGTATCAGTGTTGTATATGACCTGACAAAGATTTATGCATTCTTGGAGCTCTTCAACATTGCAATGAGAGAGTGCTTCAATAGATGTCATAAAAGGTTCTGAGGTAGCACTTGCATATGTTTCACTGTAGTCCTCTAGGACCATGTGAAGAAACCTTTGGTGTTGTTCCAAGGTATATATTTCCCATGCCATCGTCAGAGTACGCAAGCACCTCCATTCAACATCAGCTTCCTTTGTGAGGAGGGCTTGAGCAAGTGCATTGAATGAGAGGTGTTCCAACTGTCATTTAAGCAGAGATTCGCCCTAGACAAAGTTTTTCAATATGATACATGTGGATATATATGGATTGATATCAACATACCTCCTGCTCATTCACCAAAGTCGCAGAGCCTCCAGGGTGAAGTTGGCTTTCAGCACAATGACGCTCTAGTGTGGAAGGACCATCCCTCTGATAGGGCTTGTGCTGTCCTTTTTCACGCTGCAAGTAACGATTGACATGACTGATAACAGGGGGAAGGGCAGTAGGTGTAAAGGTGCCCTTGTCAGAGGGAGGGGTTATGGGTGGACAGGTGCTCTCGTCAGATGAGTCATGCACACTAACAGTGGATAGCGATGCCACACAGTGTTTTGTGGGTGAGAGTCGTGAGATAGGACAACTTGTGAAACAAGTCATCCTGTTGGCTTCAACTTGAAGGTTATGAGCTCCATCCCGCATGTGTTCCTTTAGTAAATGAAAGCCAGCTGCACATTGGAATGCACTCTTGTCATGGAGGCCATCATAGTCATGATAAGACCCTCCAACAAGGCTTGAAGGACGAATAATGGATTGCATCCTGTGGTAAAGATACATAAGACAGTGGGTGGTGCTGAGTTTGAAATGCTCTGACTACTTTTATGGACGGAAAAATTATTCTGCGCTCAGAGTCAGATGCTGAAAACTCATCATCCAGACTGAGCCACTGGACGACTCAGCGCCCAATACAAGCATTCACTAATCTATGTGAATTGTTTGACACATGTATTTAGAGCACCAGATTAAATGTCCTCTGTACTCCGGACCTCCAGACCTCCTATCTGTCCATCCTGTTTTCCTGTAGAAGTATTACCTTGCAGTGGGAACTCTCCTGAGCATTTCCTGCATTTCTCCGGAACTCTCCCGCGCTCCTCCGGACGTTTCCTGTGCTCCTCTGGAAGTCCTCCAGACTTCGTCGGACCATCATCAGACTTCCTCTGAAATGAAGGGCACATACTCAGGTAAGGGGCACAGCGTACGAGCTGAGGCCAAGCCCCTCTGAGTCAGTCTCTCTCTCCTTTGAGCATGGTTCTTAACATGGATTCAACAAATGTCATGTGCCAAACGTGATGAAAGAGTGACAAAAGACAAAAATTGTAATAACTATTGGTTAGACACTTTCTACATCAATCATGTAGTCAGTTACCATCAAAAGGTAGAAATACTGAAAGCTAAGCTTTCAGTACCAGCAACAGTATATATATTGATTATGGGAACTCAAGTAAGCCAGCGTGCTTACACCATATTGTGAACATTTCATGTTATTTAAAATGAACAGAAGTCAAGTGGAAAGTTTTTAATTCCAATTTCAAAGTGGCTGTCAGTGGCACAGTACTATGCATGATACTCCAATGCAGTTTTCTGGGAAGCCATCACCATCCTCTGCCTAGAAGACACATGGGCAACAGAACATGCTCACAGAAATGTTTGAGAGATGATCTAGTAATAGCATGGGCTCACAAAGCATCTACTAGTAGGAAAAAAACAAAAAACCTTGGACATTGAGCAAGAAGGTGCTATACTACACTTCATACACTAAATTGTCTGAATACACTCCCAACAACACATTAATTCATGCGATACACATCTTCTACTAATATTATAACTCATTTAGTACTTCAGCTTCTTGCTGCTCTCAATCTACCTATAGTGGATGACTTCCCACAGCGTTTAGAATTCCAGATATGTGTTCCAAACTGTTCCAAACCTTGTGTGCTGAGGAGCTGCCATGAAATGTAAGCCATTTCCAACTCCACACATCAAATGCACCCCCTCTTCCAGTTTCAGATTGTTGTTCTAATGACACTTCAATGTCCACAACAATTGTTTAGTGCATACCACTCACACAGAGTCCACTAGGTCTATGCATTATCCATGTGCCATGCATGCTCCTCACCATGCAACAGCTTCATACTCTGGGCAACAATGGTGCATTTCCATATGATGTGGTGGGGATAAGAAACAACTCAGCAACCCTTACAATATTTGTGTATGTACAAGTCTCCTGGATCCTTTCTTTTCATGCTAATAAACATTCATTTCAGCATGCTGCATTCTATACCATGTGCAAATGTCACTTGAGCTGCTGACTCATGCAAGAGGTCCACTTTTTGGTACCTTGTGATGTAGATGGTGCACTTTGCATTTTGGTATTTAATGAGTGTGTCTACATTCAATTTTTGTAGCATTTGTCTCTCTCTAACTCCCTACAAAGCCCTGAACTTTCTATCATACAGCCCGCTGGTCAACCCTTCACATTTCCCTCACTTCCACCCAGTTTTGGCATGCTACCATCTGGCTCTTATTCAACTCCTTTTTTGCCTGCTCAGCCCTATGTGATGCCCCCAAGTATTCTATCCCTTCCTGAATTGTCAGATGGTGATGATGACAGTGGTGACACCATTGAAAACTAGGTCACACACCCACCCTTCATGTAGCCTTCACCTATCGTTCTGGCATACAAAATTGCTGGTAGCCACCATCCCAATGTGGTGCCATCCCAATTTAAAGGGAAAGCTGCTGCACACAAGAGGAAGGCACCATCTGTGCCCTCTGTCACCACAACTGAGCCACCAGCCAAGCAAAAATCAGGTCACGGTGGTCATGCTTCAGGTACTCTGAATTACAGTGATGATGATGTTGCTGCACTGATTGATGTGTGTGCAAACTGTCTTCCACTTGGTGCAAAGGGTTGGCTTACCATCAAGCAAGAGTTTGCTGTGTGGGCAGATAGCCATGACCATCCAACTCATTCTGCAAAATCTCTTGAGCTTAAGTTTAACCAGGTATATATTCCATTACTGTATTGTGAACTCCATGATACTGATGTTCTGCTTTAAGCTAGTTCACACCATGAAGCCAACCAGTGATGCTGAGTGCCCTTCTCACATTGAACATGCTCACAAAATTGACTTCCTCATGAACAAGAGGGCTAGTACCCAAGATCTTGATGATGACAAATTTGCCGATGATGTCATTATTGTTGGAAGTGATGAAGATGAGCCTCAACATGTCAGCATGCCAAAGGTCTCTGTCAAAAGGGAGATACAGGAGCCCGCACTTCTTTCCCATCATTCTGTTGCTACACCTACTCCACAACCATCTTGCACCACATATGCACCAGGTCTTGATCTTCTAACATTAATTATGGCTTCACTTGGTCCCTGACTTCAAGCTGCTTGAGATGATGAGCATGCTGCTTAGACTTTGCAGACCACTCAACTCATATCCACATCCAACCAATTGCAATATGCACACATAACCATCAATTCACTTCATGACTAGCTCTTGCAGTGTGAACATGAGCATGCTAATGCTGAGCACCGTGCAGACCATCTAGAGATGCAACTGGAAATGGCTCAACTTGTGTGGAATGGTCAAGATTGCCAACCAACACCATAATACATATGTCATGAAACAAAATATAATGATGGGGGGGCATCTACAATCTGGGTCTCACCTGATGATGAAGATGAAAATTTTGGCTTTAATCATGATGACCTCTGTAATGTAGCCTCTCAGTGGAACTACATCAAAGATCTGAAGACTGGTCATCACACCCTTTGCAGACCCTCCACATCACCTATTCATCAAACACCATCTTTGAGTGCACAATTCAATGTGTTATTCACCCCAACATCTTCCTGTACTGGCACAAATGACTTTTTGGTTATGACCTCACCAACTCATGCTACAACTCAGCACATTCAATGACTCAGTGTGTCTTGCCTGCTTGTGCAGAAGACAAGGCTCTCAATAGCACAACATGATCTCAAGTGCTCTCAATAGCACAACACAAGGACTCTCAACAGTGCTCTCCATGTCTGGCAATGATAGACTTGTATATTTTTCTACTATGTACTTGACAAATGGAATTAAGCTATGTGATCATTGTTATGCTGATGTGAAAATAACATTTTTTCAAATTGTTCCCAAACCATCCTATTATGTTCATCTTCTTGCTAAATTGGCACATATACAGACCAAATCTGATTGATACCAACCATCCAAGCTTGAACATTGTTCAACCAAACACATGCCTCTAGAAGGTCCTGATGCTGTTCACTGAAATTGATGTCTAAGGGCATACGAAGATGCCCAAAAGAGCCTTGCAAAGCATGCGCACCCCATTCAGCTGTCTGGCGAAAGGACAGAACCTGATAGTCAAATGCAAGTAGCTTGTCCCTTTCAATTGAATTTGCAGGGAGGCACTGCCCTGTCTTGATTGGGGCTTTGATATAACCAAATATCTGGTCTGTGCCTTGTGGGAAAGCTGTATCAGCAATGAGGTAATAGTCATTGGGGGTGTCTGTTTGCAGCTTCTCATAGATTGGCTGGGCCACCTGTGAGTCATGCCAGCTGCCTGGAGTATTCAGATGGCATTGAATTATGGCACTTGCATGACAATAATAAGTACATGAAGATATCACAACTCTGACAACTGACCATCAGCACCAAATGCAATGACCAAACTCACAAAATGATCATGCAGCCACCCATTATAGGTTGCATTTTTGATCTCTTGATCCTGGGATGTTTGTACTGGTAGATTCAATCTATCCAGGGTACCAAAACCTCCTGTCAATAAGGGATGGCATGTGACAACAAAATCATTCAAAACTTAAAAATCATTGCCAGATGGCCAGTGAATAAAGGCCTTGGGATGTTTTGAAAGTGTGAAGGAGGATGGCAAGTGAAAAATGGAGGTAATGTGAGACAGTGGTAGGAATCAAGGCAAAAATTTGCATGAGACTGACTTCTCACATGGTTGAGTTGAGCCAATGAAGCACAAGGCCCAATACACCTGTGGCATCAAGAAAGTGTCATTGAACATGGGAAACAGCAGTTGCAGGTGTGTCATCATGTGGGATGGGAGTGGTGTCCCAGAGAGTCACAAATCTGGATCTAAGGATGTAATTGAAAGTCAGGGTGTTGACACCCATTGTTGTGATGAATACACAGTCTTTTTGTGCTGAGTAGAGTACCTGCCAGGGTGTACTGACATGAGGATTTGGTAGGAGATCACCTCTCACAAGGTATGTACAGCATGCATAACGGCACTCAGAATGCTGGCGTTGTGAGTGGTCTGCTCCTACAAACATGAGTGTCCCAAGAACTCCAAGTTGGTGCTATTGTGCTTTGTCATCATCTTTATCAGACTTGATATCAACTAGTAATAAAAGATACAGCTCATTTTCATCACAGTCATTGTTCATGGTTTGGTAGAATTGGAATCTATTGCTAGAAAGTACATATCACATTGCCTGTGGTTTGGAACTAGGCAATAGTGTGGGTAACCCATGGGTACTCCATACTGTACCTGCACCCATACCTGTGTGGAACTAGACCCATGTTGTTGGGTACAGGTTTGGGTATGGGTTTGGGTATTTAGGTGTACTATGGGTACTAAGTATATACATGTAAATGGCTCATAATAAGAACTACAATCAAATCAAATCCCATCCATCATCAAGCTCGTTCTCTTCACCAACTACCTCAGGCATCACAGCAACAGCCATAACATCTTGGTCTTTGACCAACCCTACAAGACTCCAGGAACCTAAGCAAAGCAATGTGCAGACAGACTGGGCAGATAGGCGACTGCAGACATGAGATAACAAGAGGCGGCTGCAGCTAAAAATTCGCTCTACATCAACTGACATTGCTACATATAATGAGTGAGATGAGTTGCCAACAGATGTGAGGCTGATAAAAAAAACTCACCAGGAATTGACAGATAATCTAAGGCCATTCAGGAGAGTTGAGGATACATTGCCTTTCATTTGGTCCACCAAGCTAAGATGTCCACAACATATTCTGGATCTGTGCTGAGGTATGAATTGAGCTTGTCATGGAGCTCTGACTGCTTGGGTGCCGCTAATGCTGGAAGTTCATCAAAGATGTTATGAGATTTTCCCTGGTTAAAACAATGGTGAGAAAACAGTAAAGTTAGACAAGACAATACATACTGCTGATGTTTCCTGGACTTCGTCCTCATCCACAGCATCATATGTTGTTAGTAGTGGTTGTGTAAGAGTGCTCAAACTCATTGCAAATGATACTCTCCATGGCTTGAATCCATTCAGCTCCCCATCTGGCCTCCTTGAAATATGATAGTTTGTGTTGAGGGTGCAGTACTGGAAGTGGTGTCAGCATCAGTAAAGTACACTTGTAAAGTATGACAGAAAACTTACCCATCAAAATCCAATAAACCTCTGACCAGTCAGTCATACTGTAGTAGCAGTTTAGTGTCTTCTTTATTTGTCCAAGTGACGCTCAAATAGCCAGCTCATAAGTGTGCATGATAGAATCTGTTGTGAGTTTTCTGTTGATCATGTCCATTGCAGGGATGACAGTTGCAAGATTCAGCATCAATCAAGAGAAAAAGAGCATTGCATCCTTGAATATCTAGTATTATGTTCTGTTAGCACTGAACTTCAATGTGAGAATGGAGAACTTACCTTTAGAACATTGCACAATTGTTGTGCAAGCTCCCATTCCTTCTCACTCAGCTCGTGGTCCTGAAGATCCATGTTCTTGCTGGCACAAATCATATCAATAGCTTTGTGATACTTAAGGGTGAAGGTGAGCATATCAAAAGTTGAGTTCCATCAGGTCGCAACATCATGTGGCATGATGCACTGACTGAGTTTGCACTCCTTGAGAACATCATACCATGCTGGAAGAAGTTTGGTTGTCAAGTGGATGATCTTGAAGGCTAGTTTATGTAGCTACAACAAAGGTAAGTACTTTGTTTTGTTATGAGTGGGAAATTACTTCAACCTTTACAAGGACAAATCATATAGGTCCAACACTATTTCGCACAGCCTGGCATTTGCACACTGACAGTTGTGCCATCTCATCAACCCATTCCTTGATATTGTCGTTCTCCTCATCATCTCTCTCATTTGGTCCCAATTTGTCAATATCAATATCCTTTGTGAGATCTTGAAGTTGCTGTTCTGCTTCATCCATCATGGTGTTTGCTTTCACTCTAGGTATGTCAAATTGTCAGATCAATGTTTTGGCAATGAGATTGACGATATGAAGGAAACATCATGTCCTATTCATTTCTCCTGGGAAGTCCTCCAGTAGATCACTCAACTTGTTGACCATTGTGTCATTATTGGGTGCATTATTGCATGTAATGCTCAGAACCTTTGTGAGTGTCAATTTTAATTCAACACATTGATTGTATTGCACATGCCTTGTCTGATATGCTGAAATCTTGCAGTATATTCACAAACGCCTCCGTGAGATTGATTCCACTATGGGACTTTGCCACTTTGACGACATCCAGTATCAAGCTGAAAGGTTGTCCATCCTGCTCGAAGTGGATGGATGCAGCAACAAATGCTTTGTGATTTGGAGATGTCCAGGTGTCAGTAGCAAAGTTGAGATTGCCCTTGTAGTTCTATCAGGAGTGAGTTGTTTGTGTGGTGCACATTGTCACTGACATACCTGCTGCATCCTAGCTATTCATTTATGTGTTCATGCAAAAATGAGCTTAACATCACATGATACTGTTGATGCTGACAGGATATAACACTTAGGCCACCCTGTTTTCATCAACAACTGGAAGCCATGGTCTTTGACAATTTTAAATGGCCACACACTCTTGGATACCCATTGCACTATTTCAGCTCAGCTCTTGGTTTTGGTATGCTGTCTATGTGAGTATGTTACCTTCCCCTTCCCCTTCCTTTCAAAAGCTGTTGTAATTGAACCCATTGTACAGAGAGGTTTGATAATTGATTCTCATGCCACTGTTGCATTCTTCACTTTATTGACAATCTCAACTGTCTCCATTCCCCAGCATTTTTTAGCATGTTTCCACATATTGCTTGTGGACTTCATGTCTGCTTTATCAAGGAAACGACAAATCAATTGGTTGCACCCTCTTATGCAGCAACTGAATGCATGGAATATTCGTCCATTGATGTGGCCAATCACAGGAATGGGGTTGAAGAAGGAATAAATGGGAGCAGTCCAATCTTTGGTGAGTCTCACTAGATTTCATCACGTCAGATTTTGAGGTTGCTTTTTACAGGATCATACTGAGTTCAGCTTCTGGATCTTCTTTGGCACTTGCATTGTTGGTGTCATCTTCCTCACCACCAGCTTGGCTTCAGTTTCACTGCCATCAAGACCAACATGGACAACTGTGCTCCCAGTATGTAACACATTTTCTTCTTCTTCAATCATGATGGAAGCATGACGTAATGAGGACCTTGTCACAGAGCTATCTTTAGAAGGTGTTGCAAGCTTCTTGTGTGCCATCTCCTCACTGGTGAGAGTGCTTCCAGCAGGTGGGTTGGTTTTTACCTTCTTCAGTTGTGTCTTTGTGCTATCTCCAAGTCCATTTGAAGTAGCTTTTCATTTCTTGGATGCTGCGGCTTCCAGTGCAGCTTTGGCTCTGGCAGGGATTTTGGGTACTTGTTTAGTGGTGTTAGACTTGTGCATGGTGACAGTGAGAGTTTGGTGAATTCAAGTTTTGCTAGTGTGCTTGTAACTTATGTTGACCTTTCCCAATTGTACATTAGAGTTTGACATGTACAGTACCTCCAAACTTCAAGTTCATTTGCACTAGGCTATCAACAAAGGCATGGGTATGCCACAGGTCCAGCTTAGAGTGCAGGTCAGGTAATCCTAACCCGCACCTGTGCCTGCCAGTACCCTTACCCATTACCCATGTGGGTTACCCATACCCATGCTTTTGCCTATTTGGAACAAGTATCTAGATTATTTTCTAGACTTAGCTGGAACTCCAAATCCTGCAGGAAGTCAGCCAGTATTCATTGTACCAATACCATATTCTTCAACTTAGCATGCTTCGGCATGAGTTTGGCACTGTTTGGCATACCTGTGCGACACTTATCCACACAGCATCACACTGTGTCACATGCACATGATGTTCATCAAATTCACAAGACTGCTATCTTACTACAGTACACCCATCTTTGACAACAACTTGAATACTCTATTCTTTTATTGACACCATCTCTTGCCTCCCAACACCACACCTGCTTGGATGCTGATTTTGTACCTCACACATCAATCACATCTAAGTGTTTGACTTGGAATCAATGCATTCAATGGCACACATTATGACGAAGCTGCTGATTACTTCACTGCCACTGTCGACTCAGGTGGTTTCTTATTGAAATAAGGACTTGCTTGTGGTGCATCAAGACTTGTACAGATAATGCTTTCCATAATTGAGGGCCTTGTCCAGCTCTTCAGCTGGGATCTTGTGCCCACTGTTCACAGGATGTGAGTACATTGTTCCTCATTTGAGCTCAAGCGATGCTGATCACAGTCCTTGCGCACTGTTTGCAGCATGTGAGTGCATTAATCCTCCTTTGTGTTCGAGCAATTCTGATCATGCACCTCCGCCAATCAGACAGGCATCTTTTTATTGCTCTCAGACACTGCAACCTGAATATGATAACCTCAACAATGCTGATCTCATGACTCAGAAACCCCATGTGCAACATCAGCTGACTTGCTATTTTCCCTTCACAGATTCAAGTTGGTTTGCTCAACTTTTCATGTATTTACTGACAGCTCTATGCAAATACAGGTGAGTTTTTTTCGTGCCCCATCAGCACAGCAGTATATTCAATTTTAATCATTTGGTGAATGTATAGAGTTTCACCCAGGCCTTCTACCTATCTTATTGAAGGTTTTTTCAGTCATCAAGGTTTGTGCTTATGTTTGGCTGCTGCATTGAGCCCAACCCATTATTAGCAGTTGGCAGATGTGTGATTGTTTCCACGTCAGCAGCTCTTGTTCTAATTGTCCCTTCCAATGGAGTCCAAGTCACTGGATCCTTTCATATCTTACATGTGGGGGTATCTAGTAAATTTCAATGTGACATCAAACTGCCTCTACTGTACGTTCTGGACAACAGACTAGTACATGTATAATCACTGCTGGCATGATGTTGGCATCATAATTGGTGTCACCATGTTTAATGTGAGTTGTGTCCCTTGCTGCTCACTCTGGGCATCCACTAAGGAATCTACATTTCTGAGGTCATTGCAATTGACATGTTCTGGTGCATCATGTATCCTACTCGTGTGTATTTTCACTGGCATTTAGGCTTATTGATGTTCACACTTTGGATGTTATGATGTTATGCTGGGGTGTCTGGGACTTGCATAACTAAAATTATTTCCAGGAGTGTAGTACCCATTATTCGGAAAGCATCCTTGTTGCTGATGTGAGCTCCCAGTCTGAAGATCTTACCACAACCATAAAGCTCAGGTCATATATATTACATTGATGGTGGAACATTTCTTTTTCAAGGGTGCTCTCAAAAAAGCCATTAGTAGCGCCCCATGAGTTTGCCAATCAGAGTAACTCCAGTGAGTAATATATAGAGCTACTAGCAGGGTCCTGTTAATTCATATCCCCAGTTTCACATGAACCCAGCCTGAGGCCAGAAGGCCCAGACTTAATTTACCTGGATTGCACAACACTTGCTGTATGTTCTTGAATGTTGCCCAAAAGGGAAATTTTTCTTGGATATTTTGGGGTGTAGTGTGGAGATCATGGAAAATGCCATGTTGCTTGATATTCTCAGAGTGTTATTACAAAAAGTTGTGGAAGTCAATCATTACTCTTGAAATGCTGCTCATGGTCCCATTTCAGGTGCTCCCCAAAATCCACCTAGTATGCAACTCAAGGCAGTGGGAACTTTGACTAATGATATAGATCACTATTTCCATTCATCTATCCAACAGCATTTCTCACCAATCAAAATGCAATCTGGCTACAGGGGTCAGCAAGGTGAGTTGTGGGAAGATTGAGACTTGCAGATAACTAATTATGCACAATTATTTCATTTCAATATATTCAATCTGAGCCTGATGCTCCTCCACTGGTAGATCTACTGCATTTTCCACTACTGATGGTATTGCCCTCTTTTTTTATCATCTGCACTGCTGTTAATTCATAGTCTCATCAGGTCAACAATTCGGACATGGTGGCAGGTCTTTCAACTGGTCCCAACTTGGAACAAACGATTCCAAGTCAGAGCAGCTTCAAGATAGCCTGAGTGACTGGCTCAACTTGAATGAGATCAGTCAGCCCACCAACCCAAGCCTTCAATCAATGTTACCCAACTCAGCTGCACCTCAGGAACTTAACCTGTCAGTGGGTGAAAGTGGCCTGAGCAGCATGCAGGGTAAGTCTGTGCTATAACTTTTCCTGTCACTGCTGCTCCAGCTCAAACCTTCCAAAACTCAGAGTTCAATGAGAACAGTCACTTCAAGTCAAACTCCCATTCATTCCAATGGCAAGCCTATGGAGGAGGCGACCAACACTTTAACTTTGATCCACCATTTTGCTTGGGTTTGACACTGCCCCCATCATTTCCAACTTCAGCATCACAGGAACTTCAACATGGCTTCGAACAAGCTGGCCCTGCCACATTCAAAATGCTGCATGCACAAGCTTCCAGTAGCAGCCAGGCCATAGGTGATGCAATGTCCTCCCCATTGTTTCTGACTTCACTTCCAGAATCTTCCTTGCAAGAACAACCTTCATTGCTTAATGCTCATGATATACATTTGAAAAGGATCAGCAACTCGATGTGGCAGGAGGCCCCAATGAACAATGACTACCTAAACCTTCACACACCTGCCAGCCTTCCACCATTGTCGTTTCCTACTTCACAGGATGTCAACATGCACCCTGGTATGCATGGGCAGGACTTGTAATCTGTGAGCCACCATTGTGGTTATACATCAGCCACTCTTCTAGGTTGTGGCCAGGAGGATGTGAAGTTGAAGTTGGTTCGCCCAAGGACTAGCAAACAATGTGATTGTGCTGTGTGGCAACTAAAATTTATAGAGTATTGACATGACACAACCAAGTCACCCATAGTACCCTCGCAGCCACCAATCATTGTGGATACTCAGTCACTGAACCAGATGATTGGGAGATCCCAAGTGCTCATGTTAAAGTTGATCTTTAACATGGGATTTTTTCCCCCCGAAGTCCTGCTTACTAAGATGGCCAATGACACGCTGGACACTGCCATTTCCCAGTTCCCAGAAGGTATGTCCATCACTCATATGCAGCACCAACTTTACAGCTTACCTAGAAACAGCAGGTGACCTTGAGAGATAGAAGTCCTCACCAGAGGGTACAGCCCAGGTTGTGAAGTTGAAAGGGATCATTAAAACCACCTTCTCGAACTTCCAGAAGTTCACCAACATCTTCTTATTGCCGGTCTATCAGCTATCTGTTAGTCCATGGAAAAGCAAGGAAGCTATGGATGCATGGTGCATGGCTAAGATTGAGTCTCTGCTGTTAGACTTCAAATTCCTCAATGCTTGGGTTCAGGTGTGTCCTTGTCAACCATGGCTCTTGTTGCCCTCCTTTAATGAATTTATTTCAGTTGCTTGTGGCTAACAACCTTCAACAAATTCACATTCCATTTGGTCATATTTTGATTTCCTCGTTGATTGAACATATGTTAAGGAACAAGAACTACTCCCAGTACATTTCCTTAGGCACAGCCAGTTGGGAGATGTGCCTCAAACACACCATCACAGCTATATCTGCAGCATATCATACAGCATTACTCAAATTTAAGGCCAGCCCCAGCTGGGTCAAGGCTAGCCTATCCAATGAGCAGGAGAAATACTATTACATCTTCATACAGCATTTCTCTTTGCTGCCCAATCTTGAGAGATTTATCCTCAATCAAATGCTGGCCAGCATGTGTCATGCACTAGCATAATAATGGGCAATATGATTGTGGGTCACATCATGTATTAGTATCACCAGTATTGTCACGGTAATGGACTTGGCTTCTTTCACTTTGCCTTTATATCTGTACCATCACTGTAGCATCTTAGACCATTCATACTGGCATTGTATAGGGTAGCAGAACTTGTTACATTTTCAGATTTGAGTGCATTGAGGGCATCTCCTGAGTTGCATACTTGAAATGTGGTACAGGTGGTGATGCTCTCAGGCTGATGGAGTTTAAAGATTCCCCCAGCTAGTAACCATCATCACACACCTAACTTCTCTGTTACATTATGATTGAGATTCAATATAGTCTTTACCCTTCATTTCATCTGTCCTCACATTATGCAATTGTGCACCGATGAAGTGGACCTTGACCATATTGAACTCACCACTCATACTATAACTAGGATTGTTGTTGAGAAGTCTGCTGTTCCTTGCTGACTGCAGGACTCATGCACATGACCTTTACCAAATGCTAACAGCAAAACCCTCTTGGTAGCTACTCCTCCTGTACTACTCACCTACCCATAACTGACTAGTTCTTCTAAACACAGATAAACAAGCAGCAATTAGTCTTTTTCTTTGCATGGCAGCTGAACACAGCTTGGTGTTACTTCCCTCTGAAACATGGCCAGCACCAGAAATGGTTCCAGAAGCGGCTTCTCTGGGTGCTGCATGACATGATGGAGTGCTTGTCAGCATTGTACGACTGTTTCAACATTGGTGGAAAGTTTTGGACGCTCTTAGCTACTTTGCTTTTGTGTACCCTATGAACAGCAGATTGAAGGTGAGCAGTGCTGTACAGTGGCAAGATTGTTCCTCATTCAATGCCTGTCATCATTTACAGTCCATTTATCCCACACAGCACTCAGCCAACACACTATCCACAGTTTGTGTTTGACTTTATCTATAATATTTCAGGCAAATTGTTTTCCAGACTCATGATTGGAGTTCCTCACAGATGCTGCTCATGGCTTCAATTAAGACAGGCAGGATCGTTTGCAGCTGGGATACATAGCCCTTAACAATGCCCTCCCACTCAGCTAACACACTATCCATGGTTCATGTTTGACTTTATCTATAATATTTTAAGCAAATTGTTTTCCAGGCTCATGATTGGAGTTCTTCGTTGGATCAGCATATCATGATATTCTTCATCTCAGGACAGGTGAACCCTTGGTTTGCCTGCCCTCAATAATCTTGTATTACAGTACTATATTCAGCGGGAGCACAGCACACTAAGTCTTTTGCACTAATCTAAATTCAGCATTGCGCTACTCAAAGTAATGCTTCAGTTTCAGTATGCTGAATTTTGCTGATAAATCCAAGGTTTTTTTAAGTGATCGCCATGTTCTGTAGTAATGCTAATTCCAGCTTCATAGTAAGTGTTAATGTTAAGGCATTTGTCACCCTGACTGGAACTTTTCCTTATAGGTGTATGTGTCTTTTAGGCAGCTGCATTCGCCAATGTGGCCATTATATAAAGCGGAAGTTCTGTGCTACCTGTTCTCCTACCTGACCTCTTTCCTCCATAGGCTTGCTGTTAATACTCATGTCCCAGATTGATCCCGTGTTGTCACAGATGGAGGACAAACTCTGACCTCCAACATCATCCCTAGCAGTGACGACATCAGAGAGCACTTGTCGGAAATGGAAAATTGCTCAATTAGAAGAGAAGCTGCAAGTCCTTGAATCCGGGCAAGCAATAAAGCAAAGGTATGCTGCTGCCAACAGTTACAGTGGCTCAAAAAACTGTCCACATGTTTTGACATTTTTCACTATCTATGATATTGTGTGAGAACTCACAAATGCCTCAAGGACATGCTTATACCACATTGTAGTATGGCTTCAGGGCTTTCATTTGAGCCCCACACCGTGGGAATCGGTGGAGATATGGTGGAGATACAAGGCTCACAAAATGGTGACTCATGCGGACAGTTTTTTGAGCACATATTAAAACTATATAAATCATCATTTATGACACCATAACAATCATGCCACCATTAAATAAATTATAAAGTGGTGTCATAAATGATGATTTATATAGTTTTAATATGTGCTCAAAAAACTGTCCGCATGAGTCACCATTTTGTGAGCCTTGTATCTCCACCATATCTCCACCGATTCCCACGGTGTGGGGCTCAAATGAAAGCCCTGAAGCCATACTACAATGTGGTATAAGCATGTCCTTGAGGCATTTGTGAGTTCTCACACAATATCATAGATAGTGAAAAATGTCAAAACATGTGGACAGTTTTTTGAGCCACTGTATATCTAGCTTCCACACTCACCACCTTCAGGGAAACCAATTACTTTATGTCGAAAGGAAGAGCTATCAGATGAATCATTACTTTGTATAATAGCATCGAAGACTTATAGCTGTTTGCAAAAGTATTGGCTTCGGCAATATTTCCAAAAAAAATGTGTGTGCCACACCAAAAAATACAGCAATAATTTTTGATTTGTTTCTCAACAACAACAAGAGATATTGCCAAGCTGTAAGAGACAAAGTTGGTCAGGGAACCAAGGCGAAGGTGCATGCAACAAAAATGGGGTGATTTGACAAAGTCCAAACCAAGTTGTCAGATGACCCCTCCCAACCCTCTTGTGAATTGTTGTGAGTGAAGGGCAGTATCTGTGAGCTACCAGCGAGTTTCCAAGTACTCAGTAAAGCATGTAGGAGGTGCTAATATTATGTATCAAGCTATTTCAATGCTTTTTGAATGTGTCATAGACTCATAGTCAATCAAGCTGGGACTCGGTGAGTTGGAGCTTTGTAAGAATTAGGCTTTGAAGTTTCAACTACTACAGTACTACTGCTGTACCCACAACTTGAACTCCCCTCATAACACACGATAATGTGTCCCATCCTCTGAGTCTCTGTCATAATGGTGAATGCATGTCAGAAAGCATCTGCTGCTGCAAAGTCAATGAAACAGCAAGGACGTCCACCTGTCAACAAATCAGCAAGGACTACCCAACAACAGATAAAATCTACAGCAGGTGTGGCTGAAGACATACCAGCACCTGCCATAAAGCCAAAACCAACTCCACAGGCAGTCCCAAAGTGGGTCCATGTGCTTCCTCTCAAAAGTCCAGTGTCATCTGACTTGGACAGACATGCCATTGAGCTCAAAACTGCCAAGAATGAAGCTGCAGCTATACTTGCAGGGATGGCAGATAGTGGAACAGTTAATGAGGAGAATGATAACTTTTTCACCAACCTCAATGACTTGGCACTTGGCAAGCCTGAGATTGAACAGCAATTGGAGGATGAAGATAGTAACATAGAATATGACAATGGTGCTGGTAGGTGCAACCCACCACTACTATTGCCTTGAATACCACTAATAGCATGCATCAATATCAGCATTAGAGATTGAGGGAAATGTTGATGATGATGAGGATGGGGATGACAGTTTCAACATTAGTCTTCTGGTTCCAATTGAGGGTGTCATTGACACTATGGTCATTAGCTCCAACATCTCATGGGGGATTTCTGCACACCTGTCTGTAGCTCATTTAGATATGTATCACAATGGCAAGTGACACATTCATAAAGGTACTAAGCTGCCATAATGTCATATCCCACAATCTGGACTCACATTCCATAATATTCCCACGCCTTCTGAGCTTATGTTTGGACCCCATATCCAACTCATTGCCAGATCCCCTTCCGCTGTGTGCTCCACACCTCAGTAGGATCGACTCTGCTCCGGATTTACCCCTGAGCTCTGGACCTCTGGATCCTCACTGCTAGCCTGATCTGTACCACCCTATCCTGTCCACCCTATGTGCACTCCATCCAGCAAGACATCCAGACTTCACCTCCTCTTGGATTCAGGACTATATCCACCTCATCATATCCCAGTCCTGTATCCACCTCACCTTCTGGATCCTTAGATTTCCAGACCTCCAGATATCAACCATAACTATCTCTGGACCTATTCCCACCCTCTGTCCAATATCCTGTGCCTATCCCCATTTAGACATCTTCACCTTTCTGGCTTTTGGTTACCTCTTGTTCCATCTTGCTTATTGATCCTTGTACAAGTCTTCATCTCCAAGTTCATTTACTTATGTTCCGTCTTACTTGCTCCTTTGCTTACTGATCCCTTCAGATATTGTCCAGTATATAACCCCTGTAGATACTCCTGTAGTTCCTTAGTCTGAATATCACCTTAGATCTGCCCAACCATCTTCTGGACTTCAGTCCATCTGAGTCTTGTCCTTTTCTGAGGATTCCCTAGGCTGGAATTCTGAACCTTCAGATTTGTCCCCTATGTCTCTGTCCCAAGTCTAGGGATTGCTTCCCTAGACTGGAGTCTTGCCTTTCTGGCACTTACCCTCTCTCCAGACTTTGGTCCACTTCCTGTCTCTCTGACTCTACCTAAAGGTAGTCTACCTCTGTTTGCTTCTACATCAGATGAAGTCTGATGTAGCCCCTATTCCTTCTGGACCTCTGGACATCCTGCCCTGTGCACCTCCAGGTGTCCTGTCCTTTGGATGTTCTGTCCTCTGTACCTTTGGATGTCCCGTCCTCCTAACCCTCAGACATCCTGTCCTCTGGACCTTCAGTCCTCCTGTCCTCCAGACCTCCTATCCTTCCATCCTGTTTCCTGTAGAAGTATTGCCTTGCAGTGGGAACTCTCCTGAGCACTTCCTGCATTCCTCCAGACATTTCACATGCTCCTCTGGAAGTCCTCCCACACTCTCCACCAGAGTGGCCAGCCTCCAGAAGTCCTCTGGACTTCATTGGACCATCATTGGACTTCCTCTGAGTCAGTCTCTCTCTCCCTTGAGCATGGTTCTTAACACATAAACAAGTCTGATAATTTGTATACAAGGGCACTAACTTACATTGACATCATCAATCTGTACTGTTCGTGGCTGGCCAACTCATCAATTGTTGCGATCAGTGTAAGCTTGACCAGTTTTCTTGTAACAATGAATGATTTGCTGGATTGTGTGCTTGCTGGCACCAGTGTATGCCATGATTTCCGAGATCTCAAGCAGTGGAAACATTTGGACAATGGCCTCACAAAGATCTTCAGAAAACTTTCACATGCTGGCATGTTTGAAGAGTGTTATTGGTGTTGGGAGGATGATGTTGCTTGATAAGCTAAGCAAGTAAGGCTAAGTCATTGATCCAATTATAGTGCGACCAAAAATGAACTGTGCAGCTGGGGAAATGCATAATAAATGCTTAATTGACCTTCATGAAGTAGTAGCTTCAGCCCTTCACTCACAACAATTCACAAGAGGGCTGGGAGGGGGTCATCTGACAACTTGGTTTGGACTTCATCAAATCACCCCGTTTTTGTTGCATGCACCTTCACCTTGGTTCCCTGACCAATGTGGTCTCTTACAGCTTGGCAATATCTCTTGTTGTTGTCGAGAAACAAATCAAAAATTATTGCTGTATTTTTTGGTGTGGTGCACACATTTTTTTTTTGGAAATATCGCTGAAGCCAATACTTTTGCAAACAGCAATAATAAGTGAGAACAATAGGAGGTGCAACGAAGGCAATGATGACATGACTCTTGAGTCAAGTGATTTACACCTACCTTGTAGATGCTGCTCATAGCTTCAATTAATACAGGCAGGATCATTTGCAGCTGGGATACATAGCCCTTAACAACACCCTTCCCTGGTTCCATCAAAAGGCTACAGAGATAGAGTATGAGGAATACATGCATATGTTGAAAATGGTGTGTATTGCTCATTTCAATATTGCATCTGTGTTGAATAGCTATTCAGCTCAGGCAGGGGGCCAACAGTGCTTAAGGAGATGACACATCAAAGCTGAAGGGTCTTGTCCCCAATTGGGTAAATCAGGAATTCAAGCCCAATCCCCCAGTCAACCATGAGGATAAACATTGTTGCAGATTCATCAATGGTACATGTGGTAGATTACTTTGCCTGACCAAAATGGATTGGAGTAATCTAGTGTAAGTATTGTGCTCAGGGTCTTGTGCGATGCTAACTATCCACCAGCATCAGAGCAGGAATTAGGGACTGTACAGATGGCCACATGATGACAGAAATGTCCTGGCCAGCATTCTTCTATGATGGATATACCGCTGATATGGACAACCTGGAGGAGGGTCTATTTAAAAGCAAGCTATTAATTCAGGTTTGTCATCATCAAGTAGCTTGACAAAGATCTCAATTTTGGCTGGCTGTCATATGCCATTCCAGACCCTCAACTCTAAATCCACTTCTCCGGACATACAGATCTGAGATCTGGATCTCCAATGATCTGATCTATCTTTATCTTCCTTCCAGAATCCAAACTCTATATCAGTGCCCAACCCCATTTAGACTTCCCCTGTCTCTGGACTCTGGTTAACTATGTTTCCCTTCTGATTATTGATCTGTCCTACTTACTAATAGACTTTGCATATGCTTCATACATAGCCTTTGTGTTTGCTGACTGATTCCTATATGATACCTACAGTATATAAACCTCCTGTAACTCTCAGAAATACTTTAGTTCAAATATCATCTTAGTTCCTGCTCATTCCTGTGTCCTCCAGACTTGAGCCAGGTCTCTTGTCATATTCAAAGTCTTGGGATTGCATCCTAGACTACATCTCTGACTCTACCTTAGGGTAGTCTATCCCCTGTTAGTTTCTAGTCCGGACTTTTTCCAGATTAGCCTTATCTGCTTGTCCAAGTAACATCTGGACATCCGTTATCTGCCCTAGTCAAATCCCAGAAACTCCAGATGACTATTCTAGCCCCCAGAAATTAGGGGCACATACTCGGGAAAGGGGCACACCATATGAGCTGAGGCCAAGCCCTTGTGATCTGACCCCCTTGAGCACACAACCTTAACAGTATATTCAAACTCACACCTTTCCGAGTATACTTACATCTATCATGGCTCCTACCAAGACAACAAACCCTCTCAGAGCAGCCAGACTAGTTTCCGCCCACCAGGATTCTACTCCTATCATCAAAACATTCAATAGCTTCTCTCAGCATCATGTTAGCCAGCATGCTACTGCTGGAAGCATCTCAGAACTCCTGAGTTGTCAACATCCAGAAACCCCTACATGGACTCCAGCCTTAGCCCCTATGGGCAAACCAGATCCGGACAATGATGACAATGATAATGATGATGATGATGATACCCCTGGCGGAAATCCACCAGATGGTAATGGTGGAAATCTGGACAACGATCTGGATGATGATGATGATGATGATGATGATGATGATGAGAATGATGGCCTTGGTCCACAGGATCATGTTATGGTACTCCTATCCAGAGCTATCAACAATCTTGCCCAAAACAATTGTCACACCACCTTTTCCAAAGACCCTAAAGTCAAAGTCTGTGAGCTGGATGTCTTTGATGGCACCAAGCCCTGGAAACTCCAAGCATTCTTTGTCCAGTACGAGCTCAATTTCCAGAGCAAACCCAACACTTTCCATACCGGAAGGTCTAAGGTCAACTTTGCCCAGTCCTATCTCAAGGGCATGGCCCTTGAATGGTTTGAACCAGTGTCTTCTTACTTGAGGTGTCTTATATAAAAGTGGTCAAAAGGCAATGACACCACAATTACACTTTTGATAAGACTGAATGCTGCCAACAACTTCAAGTTCGCAGTCTACAACTTTTCTTCTTTCATGGTAGATAATGCAGTGTTTGTGGGAGATTACCTGCTATACAGCCTGGTGGTTTTATTCTACCTGGTTGTAAATAGGGGTTCTACAATACAAGCCTAGCTTTATCTGGCAAGACAGATAATGTAGAATATGTAGATAGAACTTTATCTAGTCTTGAGTTTGACTAGACAAATAGAATAGATTCTGTAGGTAAGTCTCTCTAGTCCTATGTTTGACTAGATAGAGAATAGAGTTTGTGGGTGAGTCTCTCTAGTCCTATACTTGACTAGACAGAAAATAAAGAATAGGTGCATACTATGCACAAAACTAGGTGGCAAATAATGCTAGATATTCCCCTGCCTTGATATACTAAAGGACTTATCAAAGGGAACTAGGTAGAAGCTGATTGGATTTCCCTGCCTAAATGCAAAGGGGTTTAATCCAAGGAAGATGATATGATAGAAGAGTAGATAATCCAACAAAGGAATCTGCAGGCACAGATAATATAGCTTGACTTGGTACTTCTAGTCCTCTGAAACTATATGTCAGATGCACACTAGACAGCACAGGTACAGTCAAGAAAATGATAAATGATCTCAGAGCAAGTAAACCAAATGTACTTGGTCTGCACTTCCTGGCTAACACAAAGAGTGTCAATGTCAGAGAAAGTGGAAGAAGTGGAGGTTCTTTTTAAATGATAAAAGAGATTCTTATTTTTATGGGTGGAGAAGTGCTCTCCTTAAATACATGAGATGGGAGAAACTGTATAGTACCAAGAAATAAGGTTGGAAAGAGAAATGACATCAGAGTTGCATCATAAATGACCTCATTGTGGAGCAAAGTGGAGCAAAAGTGGAGCCAAGTGGAGCAGAACATTCTAGCATCCAATGACATCACTATGACATCATAGATGGCTTCATAGTATCCAACAGAA